GACAGCTAACAGTGCAGGCATAGCAACGTGACTGCGGTCAGCCCCAAAACCCTTCGTGTTGTACCGGGGAGCAAAGAAAGACGACGATGATGATGATGATGATCACTCTTATTCACGAGTGCATTTTTTTTCTTTAAGAGAGAAACTCTCTCACCTGATATTTTCCCCAACGCTGCTATGCTGGCTGGCTAGCTGGAGTACAAGATACCACCTATTCCATAATAATTCCAATATTATGTATCTGTCTATATTCCCATAATCCCATAAGCAGGTTTATAAAAAAAATGAGATGCAGCATCACGAAGGACAAAATAAGGCGAGATGGATGTGGAGTGCCAAAATAATTCCCGCCGCTGTGTTCCGGCTGAAATTAAGAACAGAGTATACTTGCATAATACCCCGATTATGCATCATGTCCACTGTGGTGGACTGCTATGATTTATACGACTGCTGTGAGATTCAATGCAAAGTTTTCCACCAATATTTGGGGGCAGTAGGGGTTAACGATTTTGTATTTTTTTCCCATTAACGCATAAGAGGGATGCGTCGCGTAGTGTGCAGCAATTACAACCTCATTACGTGCACCATAGATTTTGTAATAAACAGAACAATTTACTTACGTGTAAGCCGTTACATCGTTAACACGTATGTGCAGCAATTACACGGCGTGTTTACGGTGGCATTGGGGGGTCATCGCTGGGGGGGATGCTCCGAGATCCCAATTAAGCCCTGCGCATGTGAACGTAAATAATTGTAAGAAAAAAAAACCTGCCTGCTCCCGATGCAACGTCACGCCGACGGCCGGACATTCAGTTCAGTTTCATGTATTAGGTATAATAACCCTGTGAGCCATGCGGCTCTTGACTCGGGTGCAACCGCAAAAAAAAAAACAAAAACATGAACAAGAAACATCTTAAAGTGACTACACGCAACAGAAAAGTCCTGGAAAAAAACAGCAAAGTCTTCCAGAAAAAACACCGTATTTCAACGCTGTGTGCAAAAAAATCCCCAGTGGGATGCAAGTCAAACAATAACAACCATAAGACAATTTAGATGAAAGTTTATCAGGCTAACTCTGTACTACAACAAACAAACATGGCTAAACCAAAAAGTTTTCAAAATCACCAAAATAAAGCATATAAAAACAATGTAAGTGATCATGGGAACTGTGATTAAAATTCAACAATAAACGATATGCATAACATGTGCGATATTGACAACGCCGACACGATGCGTGATCGTTGCTCACTTGCAGGACAGAAACGGATACATCGATGAGGACGAACTCGAGGCTCTGCTGCGGGACCTTCACGAGAAGAACAGGAAGGTACGAGGGACCCTCGCGCGTGTCTCGTTGCGAGGCACAAACAAAGACAAAGATCCACCGTATAGCCTGCACAGACTGTTGGGGGCAAGTGCTGTTAGCGAGCACCTACAAAGGCCGGCACGGCAACACGAGGGGGTGGGTGGCCAACACCACGCCCGGCCGCCTTTGTCTCCCTAGTGGCGATGTTTACACATCGCACCAGGTACTCATTTGAGGCTGAGTCGACCTAGGGGAGGCCCAGTGGCCATCTCGAGAGTCGCGGTGCGAACGCAACGGTGACGTTCTTGTTGAGAAACTTTTTTTTCCCTTTCAAAATCGTGATTTATCGCTCATTGGTGTTGGGCGCAGCCGTGAATGCAATGAGTTCGTGCCGTTGCCGATGAGAGCTGTCCGTGATTGCAATGGGACGTTTCACGTGGCGTTTCACGTCTTTCTTTGACAATAACTTAATCTAAAATGCAATTCTCTGAAACGGTATTAATTTATCCACGCAATTTTGTACTGGTCTCGAGTAGGTAATGCATTCTGAAGTATCAGATACACTTATATCTCTATAAGTGTATCTGATTATTATTTTGGTGTAATAAATGGCAATTTTAAGCAACAAAGTTAATTAGAAACCTTGTTACTGTATACTCAACTGAGCAGCATAGTGCTCAGGATACTTTCCAAAGGACCATTTTACAGGGAGTTGATGGTTTCAGTAATTGCAAAGTTATACAATTATTGTGCATAGTGACCAAAGCGTGCCACCTACTGGGAAAAAAAATTAAACATCGTCTAACATAATATTTGGTAAGGGTAATCAATTCTGTTCCGGTTCTATTGCTCAAAAGCAAAATGTGAAAAATCACCTCCAATTAAATGGACAAAGGGGTTAGTACCTCTCTGGCAGTTGTTCACGCACTGCACAATGAACCAATGAACCCGAGTTTGATTCCAGGCCACGGCTAACATTAAAGGCGAGTAATTTCTCTCCTACTCTTGGAGGCTCCCTTCACCAACCCGGACTAGGGTGATGAAGTATGCGGCCGGCCATAAATGACGTCACGCACCTATGCGGGGGGGGGGGGGGGTCAGACATTTGTGACGATGCGTGACGAGGGGGGTGGGGAGTTGAGAAATGTGACGTCACATCAAAATGCGCAACTTTAAATAAATATAGACAACACGTTCTACTTAAATAGACTTTTTAATAAATATTTTCTCCTACAACATCAGAGTGCAGCGCCACATTAAATACGCACTACAATAGTTTAAAGCGATTTGAAGCATGTTTTATTTGGGGGGGGGGGGCAGAGCTTTGTGACGTCATAGTTGAGGGTGGGGGGGGGTCTGACTTTTTGTGACGCCGCGTGACGAAGAGGGGGGGGGCAAAAATAGCCAAAAATCGCGTGACGTCATTTATGGATGGTCCCTATGGTCAAATGACCCCTATGACTGACATGGCATGGGAAGGCCTTATTCCAGTAGTGGATTGATAATGCCTGTACAGTTTGAAATTGTGAAAACTACAGTTGGCCAATTCTTACTTGCCAAAGATAATGCAGCTCAATATGCTTGTCACATCGTGACATAAGGTGAAGTTCTCAAAAGTCGCATTGTTTGATTGTTAACGTGTTTTCATTAGGATCTGGACGCCCAGACACTAACAAGCTACAAGCGGAACATAATGGCACTCTCCGACCACGGAAAGCTCTACCGCAATGACCTGGAGATGGTCCTGTGCGTCGAGTCCTTATGAAGCCGCTGCCGTGTGCACTAACACCTGAATACATGACACACAGCAGACCCATACCAGTCAACACAGCATGGCGCCAGCATGCACACACACTCACACATTTAGCGATGCTTGCAGACAAGCAATAACGCAATCCCGGACATGAATGACATGCATACAACATGCACCCATGTACACCAACACACAAGCACAATATATATACACCCACATGCATTCAAATTCATTCATCATATATTAAAGTGGTGCGACAATTTGAGCCAACACACACTGGGCAAGCAAGTCAACCGCTCACCAGGAGGCACAAGCACACCGTCACATTCCGTCGCTCACGATCATTTAGGCACACGCACCATGAGCAGCGATCACTGGCATTCACCACGACACACACACACAGAAAATATGGGAACCAACACACACAGCACTTAAAGGCACACAGGCCAATCTTCAGCACAAACTCGCGCTCAACAGAGCGGAATCTGCTTAAACTTGCGTACTTGGTCAGATATTCCTAAGGACACTGCACGGTCACCGTTACAAGGAGTTAAACCAAAGTGATTGCAAACAGGCCTTCAAGTTGCATTATTTTTGTTAAAGAACAGACTGGCAAGACATTAAGCAGGTTCTATTGCATTTACAGGCACACAACCAATACATCCATTCACTTACCATTTGACAATACAAAACAAATCCCCAAAAGGTATCGGTTAATCTTGGCAGGAGTGGGAGTGAACACAGCAACGTACTGGATATTGAGGATTCTGAGACTTCATCTTACACCTCTATGGGTTCCCACCTGGCCTAAATACAGAAATAGACACTAGCAAACGGTCCTCCACCTCTAAAAGGTGCACTGCCGTGTGAACATCCCCACACCTCTAGGTACTGTCACATAACTTAAACAAGCAGCACAGCAGTGGGTATTCTTCAGAGAAGCCCATCATTACATGTTTGGGGGGTGGTTCATTTTTGTTGGTGTTGTTGCTTTTGACAATACCGTACATTCACAACTCCAGGTGAAACGTGTTCTTAGAAAGTGAAAACTCGCTTCTATAGATTGGCAATTGCTCGCCTATGCGTCACCCGTGGCTGTAGCTGGATTTTTCCATTCCCAGAGAGAGGCATCTTTTTGGCACCAACGGCCGGACCTGCCGTGCCAAGACTACGGGATTGCTTGTTTGTAGCTCACCAATGACCATGACACAATCCCCCTTCCTTTCTGGGAGATGGCTCCAATGTCTCAGCTGTGGTTTACCGGTCTCTCTAAGGTTCAAAGCAGGTTTGGGCATCTCTGAGCTTCAGATCATGATGCCACGACCGGCTGTGCAGTTGCAGTGCTGCTTGGGCTCGTTCAAAGTGCGCTGAATAGCTAAGGTTTGTGTTGCTATGTGACTTATGTTTGACCACCGTACAAAAAAAGGGGGAGAGACGAAAAAAGGAAATACCTTATTATATTTTAGGCACACAATTATTCAACGTGTTTGTGGCGTTGTGCGTTTTTGAAGTGTGTAAATGTTAACGATCTTCGAGGTCCTAGTATATTGTACTCGGTTCCTATAGAAAACTGCTTGGATTGTCTATTAACACAAAACCCTTCCCACATGACTACAAATCATTTCCAGTTGTTCAATCCTTTTACAAATAATAATCTTTATTTTAACATATCGGAGCAGCATTTACACTGTTGGTATGTTTGTTTGCCGTGTGTTGATTTCACTGTGTTTAATCCTGCGTTAAAAGTTCTTGCATCTACAGTGCGCTGTTAACGCAAGCACCGTTTTTAGTCTGAGAATAATAAATTAAGTTGACAGATGTGTCTAATCTCATTGTCGTGTCATCTTTATAGCCAGTCTGTCACGATCATTTAAATGACTCTGGCGTGCCGAGAAATAGCTAATGGTGTATACAAATATATTGGTACACAATTGAATTGACATTTTTTTTTAATTTACAATGCTTAAGTGCATTTAAGATCAGGTATTTTTAAAGGCACTATCCTTTACGTACCAGATATGTTAAAGCACCAATAGTTAATGGCTATGTTAAAACGCTCAGGATTTTGCACTCTGCTACTGGTGTCAGTGCACTGAATATCGTGACACATTTGATGAATTAATGAACTCGTTGAATCTTTAGCAAGCAAAAGCTGCAGTGAACCAACAGAGATAATTTTCAGTCGGGTCATGTTTGGGATGTGAAAAGAAACTGGTATCCCAAAACAATACCCATCCAAACAAGACATGTCAATAGCTCTGCCAGAAAATAAAAAAAATCGCCCATCATGCCCAAAACATCACCTATATATAACAGTATATACTGTATTAGGGCAGAGTGATTGACATATGCATTGCGTTTTTTTTCTCGATGCTTATGCATCACTGCCAATGCATTAGAACAAAAAATGCATGCAAACAAGAGAACATTATATCTCTACACACGCTGTGCAGAAATTGCAATTCTCCACAAGCCCAAGTCTTGACCAGGGGATGGCCGTGTGGCATCAGGGAGCTAAAACTGCGTCATAACGCTGAGCAGCAATTACTTAATCCAGACAGCCTTCATGCATTTAATTTGAGTATATATTTAGAATGCTGGCTCCACCATCCCAGCGTGTGTTAAAGCACTTGCCCCAACCCTCCCAAGGGTCGATCGAGATGGAAAGGGTGAATTTCACATTTGTAGGGGTTTCTTTTAATGTTGCTTTTTGTGTGTGAAATGTTCAGAAGCCGGGGCTTGTAATAATGCACAAATTCTCATGAATCTCAAGATCTTTGGCTCCAAATGGAATGAAAAACAGGAACAGTCCGAGATGGCCTGGTATTTTTCTCTTCACGCAGAAAAATCCCAGCCGCGGGAGGCCGAGCGGCTCCACACCGCGTTGGCACCTCTTAGATGCTGGGTTTGAATGTGGGATAAGTCACCTGTCATTTATGGTCTCAAATTTTGACTTAAAACTTTCGTGACTGCAGGAATTCATATTCTTGGTTCTTTCAGTAAAGTCACATAGATAGAAAATAAAAAAATAAATTTAGAAATGTTTTTTAAAAATATTTTTTATTTTAAATTAATTTTATTATTTTTATGGTCTCAGCCTGAATGACAATTTATTACACAAAAGGTATATATTTAACTTGGTTATTTACTTAATTTGATATATTGGTTTGATTTTGGTTTTGACTACGATGAGACACTCTATGAAGGGCAGAGTGCAAACATTAATCTCCTGACATGCCAACGGTGCAATTTATATATATGTGGAAGTAATAAGACATTTTTCAAAGACCCAAATTACTATCCCAGCTCAGCATTACAGCTGAGGTCCATCACTCTGGCTTGTGTCAATTGCGCGGTGACATGCATGAGTGGTAGGGCGTTTTGCTGCTTGTTGCAGAGTTTCATGGATCAAGCTTAGTGGCCACCCTGGTTCAGGCCTACTTCACAGTGCGCTCTGCTTCAAAGTGTATGTTAAAGATCCCATGACATCAAAAGTAGGCCATGCACCTCCGTTTAGCACGGTGGGCTACGTACGGTGCGAAAGAAGTTAAATATATACAGACACCTGTGTGCTTGCGTCATCTAAAATTGTATACATTACTTGAAAATTGCTAAATTAGGAAGCCTCATGGCAACTGGCAGACTAATTTCCACTATGATGGCCGGTGCTGCTGTCACCTTCTTCTGCATAGGGGCAACTGCCACTGGGGGTTCCCTACCGCAGGGCACCTCATTATGTACTGCACAGGAGGTGTGGTGTATAAATATTAAGTGATGATGATGATGACGACGATGATGATGACGGCGGTGGTCGTTCACCACCCTGAGTATCACGTGGGACATCGTTGAGTTGCGGAGTCCCCGCTAGAGCAGGGGAAGCTCTGGTTCGGCGAGGAGCTCGGCGGCGACAGGAGAGTCGCACGGCACGAACAGCGTCACGCCCGACTTGTAGGCGGCTGGTATGGTGATGTGCGTGGGTGCTGCTGTCGTCAGAAGGTCTTGGCCCTCGCCGAGGGCACTCTGTGCACACAGCATGCGCTCCACTTGTTCTGGATGGGGAGTGCGGGAAGAAAGGAAGGAAGAGAAGGGTGGAAGGGATTTAAGACCGAAACAGGAAGAATTCTTCACAATTCTGGCAAATCGCCTGATGAAAGCTGGTTGTGATCACCAGGGAAACATCGTACTCAAATTGTAAATGGTCTGGGTTTACTCTCCAATACACCGGTGTGCTGACGTAGTCACTAATTTGCACGTTCTGTTTACGTGACAAACCTTACTAATTGGCTATGCTGGATGGTGGTGGGTTAACGACACATTTATATTTACGCAATGTAACCCAAAACAAACATTAATTATGGATATTGGTCGAGAATGCCTGCGTGTTAAACCATACGGCACCCTGTACGAGCTATGTCCACTCGCTCATGTACGTATGGCAACGTTCACTTACCGTTACACCTACGTACACGTGGAAACGGCTGCATATGTAAACAATTATGTTTTCACAGAACATCAAGCCAGTGTCAATTTGCGGGTGTAATTGAAAAACACAACTTCCACAACAGTTCAAATATCCAGGAAGTCGGCTTTTGTTGAGAGAAGGCAGATTAAGCGGATGAAAAAATTATATTATGAAGTTCATCTTGCGGTCATCTGCGGGCAGATGATGCATTATATGTAGCAAGCATGGGTTATCTTAGAATATGTGTGTGGGTAAACAAGTCTTACAAAGGACGCCTCTCTAAAGTGAATTACTTATTAAAACTTAAACTGTAAAGCTGAATTTAAGCACACATTTAGGTTATCGTTTAGCGTTTAAATTCCACATTTTAGTTCAAAGCCACAATAAGTTTTATGAGCCCATTATAATTAGTGTGCATTTAATTTTCATTTAAAAACTATCAATCAAAGATATTTTAGTTTCCTCCAATTATTGATGACATCCCTTTCCATTCATGCCCTGCCTAAGCACAGGTGGGAGCATATTGAGACAATAATCCTATTTGAAATGCAGATGTGGGACAAACACAAAACACCGCTGAGAAACAGGAATACATTTTCAGTGGAAAGTTGTACAAAGCAAGATAATGTAACCTCGCTTTAATTAGCTTTTAGGATTCGATGAAGAGTAAAAATAATGCATAATATTGCATTTTTTGTCTGCACAAACAAAATACCACCATCTGGTGCTTAATGATGATAAGGATTTTTGCACTGTCCCACCAGGGTCACACGCACAGAACCTACAAACCACAGTGGAAGGCCGCGGGGTGAGAAGAGATGTTTTGGGAGTTTATCCCCAATGTTATCCTGATCCATGTCTCTTGCAGAGCAATGCAGCCCCTTGTGTTAGAGAATGACCCACGGAAGTGGATATAAATTCCAGTGATCTCCAGCTTACACAACAAAGGACAGCATTTGAACAAATATCCAGCCAATGACAGTGATGTTCATTGCAATACACTCAAATATTTTATATCCCAAGAACTGGAATTTAGCCCAATCAAGCGCAGAAACAAATTGAATTTGTCCAGTCATACATGACTGGGCCGAGACCATGAACTTGATACACTAGAGAACCCAGTTAAATCACAGGTGGCTGCCTGGATCCTGGGGATAGACGTGGGGATAAATGTGTAAAGGTCAGTAAGTGTTGATCGGCTCCGAGACGAGTGGTGTTGTCTTGTCCGTCCCGTGACCCCCTCCTGCCAGCGGGCGTATGACACTTCACGTGGCCTTAAAGTGCACATAGCCAGACACAAGGCCGTGGTGACATTACCGACACTTAGTGGCGACGTCACCGACACTTATTGGCGAATGGCGGTTTTTGTTGTTGTTGTCTCACCAGCGACGTGAAGCTCGTGCCAGCGTGGGTCGTCCTCCAGGCATGGGATGGTGCCACTGCCCCCGACCACGCGCGCCTCCACGTCCTCGCGACGCACCAGCAGCTCCGAGGGGCTGCTTAGGCGCTGGCTCAGCACCGCTGTGCCCACTGCGTGTGCCGATGTGCAGCAACAGGAGAGAACAGAGTGACGTACCGTGTCCTGTGTAGAGTTGCGAAGCCATTATTGGTAATTTGACAATCATCTTCAGACTCGATTATCTATACCGAACGTTAAAATCGCACGCAGTGAATCAGTCACCAGTGTAGTACGCTCCTACAGATACACAGACATAAACAATGGGGTGGACTTTATTTGTTAGACATCAGATTCATCAGCCAAAATCAATTCACTGCTGGATGAAGACCTACCCAAGCCTTTGCAATCTCTGACAGCTGTTTGATAAATAGAAGCTGATTCCATCGCTCCATCTCAGCAGCGATGTCCTCACGAGCATATCACTATATTGGCTGCCACACTGATGTAGTCCTAACAACCACCCATCATTCCGTCTTGCCATGACACGTTCTGCCAAAGCCCACTTACCTTTCTAAAAAGTAAAATGTCTAACTTGCATATGTTCACTGATCCATGTGTTCCTCTTCCTATATCTCAGTGTATTGCCATGCATGTGTAGAGGTGTTAACTATGCGCTGTTGCGTAACCTGCGTTGCCACCAGGGCAGTGCAGCATTACCCCTGGGTACAACAGTTGGGGTCAGTCGAAGTGAAACGGATCGTGGCCAGGGTTTGGTGCGAACCAATCAGACGGTTCCACGTGGGAATGTATGATTGGTTCTACCTGGACACGAAGGGGTATAAGATGGGTGACCCAACGGACCTCGAGGAGTTCTCTCCCTGCACGAAGATAGAAGACTGGGCTGAAGCCTAGCTAGGACCCTGGACCAGCCTTTCAGCCCTTCTAAGGGCTAAGGCTCGGCATACCCAGTGGTCAGGACCCACCGGGCCAGCGGTGGGTCAGATAGCCTCCCCTAGGTCCTAGCCGGAGGACTAGGGTAGCGGTAGACGTGTGAGTCCCGCCAAGTCCGGAGGTTGTACCTCCTTAGGTATCAAGGAGGTTAGCGGTAGACGTGAGAGTCCTGCCAGGTCCGGAGGCTGTACCTCCCTAGGGTATCGGGTGAGGGGACCGAATATCCCTCTGTGTGTGTTAAGCGTTGTATAAGGAAATAATACAATAAACAGAGTGTGCCTCCTAAGAAGTCTGCTCGTCCCTACAACACTACACATGTAACTCTCCATGTTTCATTGTGCACTTTTCACCATGTTACATTCTCTTCGTCAATGGCCTTTTAATTACAATAGAATAATACTCATTGCCTTTAGATAATACTTGGTTTATGTTAGAGTGATGAACGATCAAAACTGATGTTATGTAATGATAGAAAAACTCATTTTATGTTCGGGCAACGACATGGCCTCATGGTAGTGTGTTCAACAATTGTTGAAGATGTTCAGGTTCGAATCCAGGGGCACGAATGGTCAGATCCTCCTCTAAAAGAGTTATGATACTCAGTGAGTATTTTCCTGGATAAACAAGAGTAGTAATATATATAAAAATGAAAGTCCGTCTGTCTGTTTCAAATACAAATCCAGACCGTTAAAGCTATCACCATCAAACTTGGCGGGGTTACCTTTTAAAACTCCGCCGAAAACCTTAGCTACAAGCGAGCCGACATTTTAAATAGGGGGGCCCGGAGGCCACCAAACGGTACCCCACACGCCCCAGTGACATCACCATCCATAACCCAGCACATATTAACCTGCACATCTAACAGTTACATAATGACCCCCTCATAAAATGTATGTAAAATTGCCGTTGATTACACCACCAAGAAGGTCAACCCTCCTTGAGCACGCCCATCTTAAAAAGAAAAGCTTCGTTATATAATTTCGTTCCCCATTTTGGCAAGTTACATTACATTTATTACAGGCGACCATGGCACGGCAAAAATCTTAACAGTTGCTGTAACGCCATTGACCCCTCCTTCTGAATACAGTGCTTGGGCCACTCTACATTCACAAGTACCCGGGCAACGCCGGGTACTTCCTGCATGTAAATAATAAAAAGAATGAAATTAAAAACAAGCCAAAGTGGTTTCCTGCTCAAATGGGCACATGGTGGAAATTCTATCCCATTCATAGTCCTAAGCCGGTGGTAGGAATTCCACAGGCATGACAAGAGTATATGAACTACCAATCTCTAATTGTGAAATGTGTATTCTATTAAGTGCACCATATGGCCAAATATAATAGAATCATGAGTGTTTACACGCAAGTATCCGCATGAGTTTGGAAAAAAAAGGAGCAATAAAAACACACAAGACAATGGTAATAAGGGAAATAAAATGAAGGTTCATAATAAGGATAAAAAAACGTACTTAATGCAACAAATACACACAAAACAATTGGATCTATATAGGGTCTACTCGATAATGTATCTGTACAAAACAGTGGGCATATTTATTATTTAAACACTAGAGCACTGGTAACAGGAAGGATTTGCCGATACTCTAACGTGACTTTGTCTTGTCCGCTCGATGGCTCGGACAGGAAGAAACATTGGATGAAGTACACAGGTAATAGGAAGTGCTGATAACAGGGTCAGATAAAATGAATGTCAATATATTAGGTATATAATGAAGCATTAACTCTTCGATAAAAAAAATCTTATTACACTCATACATTTATCAAGTTGTTAATTTCAGAACTGATCTTTTACAATTTGTATACAATGTGCAAATTATATGCCATTGCTACATTTAGGCTAATGTAGGGAAGACAGAAGACAACTGTGCAAATGAGACGGAAAAAAATAGGAATCAACATAAACGAGACGGCGAGACCAAAAAACTTGATTCTTAAATCACATCGCCACCCTGAATTGTGACCCTTACTCAAATCACTTGTGGGGTTATTCCCTACATGCCTACATGGTACTGCACGTATGTGTGGGTGGGCTGGGGTTCGATGCTCACAGGTGACCTACCAAAGTCCAAGGGGTTGGTCATGTAGATGCCCTCTCTGCCGACTCCGAACACCATCTGGTGGTGCCAGGCATCGGGCACCTCCTCTCCGGGTGGCACGGCCACCTGCATGTTCATGGTGACGACGGGCACGGCGCCTCGCCTCATCCAGTGCCGCAGCCAGTGCGCCAGCGGCACCGCGCGTGCCGGGTACATGTGGAAAAACCTGCCGAGTACACGGCCACGCGATGCCTCGTGCGCGCCCACCAGCAGCTGCTCGTGCGTCGCGCCTGCAAACGCCGAAAAGTGGCGGAGACAGACATAAATGCGGTCATATATTTGTGATACCCAAACGATAGGAGCAACACAGAAGACACTGCTATCATTAGCATTATTAGCATGTTCTAATCGATACCAGTGGAACACTTTATTAAAGATTTCCAACGATGCTTGAAAGTGTTATTGCATTGGCTATGTCCGTATGTCCATACTGGAGGGGGAGGCTATGTTTGTAAAGATGATCCAATATGAAAACATCTGTAGTACAAATATAGTGTCGCTATTAGGGAATAAAAGTATTTGACACTGTAGTATCACTATCGTGTCACTACTCTTGAGTCTTATGAAGGATAAAAGGGGAAATTGGGAAGTGGCAGCCAATTATTCCTATTATCTGTGCCTACTGCAGATAAAATGTTACCGGAAGTGGTTTTCTCTAACTACCAAATTGATCGTGTTATCTGCGGGTAAGAGATATAACCCACAAGAGGTGGGAAAATGCACCCTTTTGCTCGCGATTATCCGAGGATAGCTGCAAACGGAAAAGGGGTAATTTCCATGGAAGGGGATGACCAATAGGATCCATCGACAGTGCCAATGTCCCTACATTTATTTATTGAGCTATGTCTTCCTTTACGGTGACAATGCTAAGTCACTTCCACGTTTATATTAAGCCTGTGATTGGATTAAAGTGTGTGGATTCGCTGAATGGACCTGCCACGCTGCGGGAAAGAAGGTACTCCGCTAATGGGGCTTCGTTGGCACGTAGCTTCGTGCCGACGGCACTCTCAGCAATGTCGGCCTCCACCGGCACTCCGAGCGCCTGCATAACGTTCACCACGGCGGTGGCACCGCACGCCGACACGCCGATCTGCTCTGTCTGCTTCTCCAGTGCCTCCATCAGTGACCAGATCATGCAGGGCTCAAGGCCCGCATCAGAGTCATCAACAGTGGTCAATGACTCCTGGCTTGTTCTGTCTTCTGACGAGGACTCAGGAGTCACTCGGAGTTCATTGGCTTGCTCCATTGGGCAGCTTGCTTGGCTTGGCGGTGAATCTTTAACTCGGTTGGCTTTTTCTGCCACAGGCCCTGTCACCTGTGCATTTTCTTCATCCATATTTCTCATGACACCTAAAATAAAAAAAAGTAAGGGTCAAAACCTGGCAGCTCATTGATACATACAAGTGAACATTATTAAAATGTAAACGTTTAACCCTTAACATTGCTTGCATACGTAAACGTTTTAGCCACCATGAGGATCCTTGTTGAATGATGCTTTGATGTTTTCTTTTTCTTTAAGCTGAAATTGTTTTTCAACAGAGATTGGCAGTTTCATGCCTTACAAAGTAGACATGGGTTATACCTTTCCACGGCTGGTTAGTTTTCTCAGCTGACGGATAAGGTTAGCAAACAAAACAGACACGACTATAGTTGGTTGGTTGATGCACAACACAATATCTGAATGATGGCAAGATGCACGAATGCCAGCTCTTGTATATATACAAGAGCATCACAGAATAGATTAGAAGGGAAAAGAACACAACTTCCCTTCATCAAAAATCTAGGAATTGACCATATATTAGTCAAGTGTATGTTTAGGGATAAGCCTGCTTGGGAATCGTGACTTTCATGCAAATTACAAACTGTTACACCTCCCTGTAAGAAAGCGTTACTTACATTACTTCCATGAACAAATACTGAATCACAATGGTACATCTGCTGTGCGTGTTTGCGCTTTGTCCATTGCAATGTAAACAGCATCAGCACTGCAGGCTTCTGGGTGCGTTTGCTTTGTGCACTGTCCATGTTATACAAACACGAGGTCTAAAGCATGCCCCCCCACCACCCCGTGTACAAGTATTTACTTTTGAAATTGTTGCATCTAAAAGGTACACAAATACACATTGCCCACAGTATGGTGCTTCATCAAACCCAGGCTTTGAGGCTAACAACACGGCTCTGGGCTGCACTTGAGAATTTCCTTTCTTGTGTGACAGATAGAACTGTAGATTCAAAGATATTTCCAGCAATACAGTTCAGGAACTCTCAAATTAGCACGTTTCAACGCGCGTATGCTACTGCATTTATGTATGCGGAACTTCTTTTGCGCCGTACGAAGCCAACCATAATAATCGGAGGTGCAGGGAAGAACAAACTAAACACAAAAAAGAGTTCTAAAGAGATTAGTTTTCAATACATAAATGTGATGATCACCGACTCATGTAAATATTGCAGAGCCACAAAGTTATGCTACATACTCTGCAGTTGAGTCTTCTGCTTATCACTAGAAACATTTAATACACGTTTTTGAAGATGAGCCTCAAAATATGACCCCAGAAGGTTGCAGATTGGCTTCATTCATTTTGAAAGGGGTTAGCCTCCAAACACTTTATGCTTGGAGTGTTTAAAATATACAATTCCAATTGTTGAACCAAGTAATATGCCTCCAATGTAGCTTGATGTTTAAGCACCACACATAAGGAAATTAAGGAGTCTATCTTCGGCATGTCTCATCTACATTGCACTGGTCGTGACAAGTGGCATGCACCTATAAACGTAATATTTTAAGTCGAGTGAACCTACGGGAGGCCCATGACTTGTTGAGTGAGATGCCCCCAGTTGCCCATGGCAGTAACAGCCACGAAATAAGTTGGTGGTGGGGGACATTGCAGCCTCAGTGCGTTTGGGTGAGATGCACGCATGTGCAGGCCTCTTGTCACTGCACTGCTGGAAGGTCTTAAACTTGCTATGTCGCTGCGTGGAGGGTTGCGATACACTTCACCGCACTGTTTGGTGAAGGCGGGGAGCATAGGAGTAGAGTACAACGTCGGAGTTCTGATTCTGTTGACGAGACTGCCAACACTTTGGCCACCGCGTATTTAAGTTAACGCAGGCTGCGATCGTGGCAAATTTTGGTTTCAAGATTTACAATTTAATGACTGCCACTTATGTGTGCGGCTAACCATTACAATGTGGTTATTTAATACATTCAAAATAACTTTAGATCAACGCAATCCATAAAACTATTTTACACAGGTAAAAACTAAACAATTTTTTTTATTTCACCAGATATTGCCCAGAGGTATATCGCTCTTTTTTTTCCTGTAGCGAACTGGCCACACATGATAGCTCAACAAAGTGGCTTATCGTGTGGAAATTCTATAGCAGCCAAATAACTCTAAATGTGAAGTTGATTCTAAATGTGAAAGGGAAAAATTTTTTCGACATGACCACGGGGAAAGAGACAACGTACAAGCAAGCGTCAGGATCGTAACCAACAACCTCCTGCATACCGGGCGAGGCAGTAAACATCTCGCCGTTTGAAGCCTCGTTAACGATAGTTGGGCGACGTACGGTGCGAAAGAAGTTCAACGTGAAATGTTAAATAGTTTAAAGTCACTTTAAGGCGTGCCACTGTTAGTCGCGACTGTCAATACACAGTGACGTGAAATCCAGCGCTATCAGAAGCCGCGCGCCCGTTACAAACACATCGCTTTTGTCACGAAGGTTCATTCAAAGCGGTGTTTGGGACCGGCCTTGCACGCACGATAATTGTTTTAAAAAATACAATATATATTGTTGTTGTTTTTTTGGGGGGGGGGTCTTCGTCTTCTCCGAAAGCTTCCGCGGAGACGCGGCACGTGGAGGGCTTCCGTCACTCTCCACGCCGACAAAGCGATCGAGAGGCGTTTCAATCCCGACCGGGTTACGAGGAGGACGACTTACAGTTCGCCGCGCATTTTTAATAGTGTTCACATTTTAGATGGGTGGCTTTAGCGAAATTATTAGAAGGGATAATCGCGTTAATTTTTACTCAGCTAACCGACGTCAACGCCACTGTACAAACCGGGGCACGGTCGCCCATTTCTGGGTTTTAGTTACGCCTACGTCATCGGATCGGAATCGATATTTCTAAATCGGTAATAAAAAATCGAAACCGCTTTTCGATTCCGCCGTTCTTCATAGAACCCCCCCCCCCGCCACGGTGGTGGAGTGGTGAGAGAGGCCGGTGTTGGGAATCGATTCCAAAACGCACAGCGCGCGTGTTTTTTTGTCGTCGTCTTCTCCTTCTGGAAGACCGTGAGAGGGGGGGTTGGGGGGTTCGACCTCCACCCCCTCCCCACCCCCCACCCTCCATTGATTTATATTTCCTAGCGCGGATTAGGCGTAGACCAATCGGGCGCGCGCTTCCGTCGCTCGCAGTGGTGGGGGGGGGGGTAAGTGGGGGGGGGGAGTGCTGAGCGTTGGCCAATCGGAGGGCGGCGTCGCTCACGGAACGCCTCGTCCCCTCGCGTCTATGCGGACTACGATTTACAATACAGCGTGTCCGCCGACTGAACTAGAGTGGAGGTTGTTGGTTGTGCGGAGGCGGCGGAGGCATCGGCGTTTGCGGCTTTCGCTTTAAGGTTTTTTTTTTTTTAAAATACATAAACAAAAAAGGCGCAGCAAAAACACACATTTGGCAGAAAATTAAGGAGTACAACGTTGGGTTGATGAGGCGCGCGGCGTGGAGTTTGCTGGAGGAGTTGTCATTCTGTGAGTAGTAGTTCACGCACGGGCCCACGGCCTCACGATGATGATGATGATTCGCCGCGCGGGTTTTAACTGGAGGAGGGCCAGGCAATTTAATCGCAAATGTATAAATTGCTGTAGTGTCGTTAACCACGAACACCTGGTGCTTTAATGTCACGAGCGGTTTGCTGCTGAAGGGTGTCTGAAGATGCGTTTGATATGAGTGGCTTGTCGCAACGAGCTCCTCAACGTGTGTGTCTCATGGAGCCCACGTTTGACCTACCTACAAGTTACTGTACAATAATTGTAATTTGCTTTCACTATTCAACGTTAATGTGTCACGTGTATCGAATGAGGGCGTTACAATGGTACACTGGCGTGAATTATTAAAAGCGGTTGGGTCGTGATCGCAGTTCGAGGATGGGTTTTGTGTGTCTGCCTATGAACGCATGCAGGTTTGTAACCCACGTGTTTTGATTCTTGAACATAAAACAATAATAAACGTTAAATTATATCACCAACGGCACTCATTTTTATATTGCTGAGGGAAAGTATTATTCGGTAACGTGGTATGTGCCCATTTGAGACAATCTTGATACGCGTGCTTTGAGTCTTAAGTCGTTGGTTTGTGACAGACCCATTTTTGCTATGTGTCTTAATTCTAAAACATTACTTGAGACAATGATGGGCCTTCACTTTAGGGTAAGGGTTATTTTTCTCGGGTGGAGATACTACAATGTTTTAACATGAACAAAAGTTGCTACTTCTTTAGTCTGTTAACAGGTTAATGATAACAGGTTCATGAAACAAAAAAAAACTAAAAGTTGTTTTTACTGGCACTGAGGTCTCATGCAGGAAGTCTAGTCACCTAAAACATCAAAACAGTATATTCTTTACCCTAGGTCTTCTAAAAAAAACCCCACGGTATTTAAATTTCACCTCATTTAAGGTTTTCGTGCAATTTATAACCAAAGATCGAGCAAGGGTCACAATAATAGATGAATATTCTAAAGTGAAAACTATGATAACGTGTAATTTACAAACTGAATCAAGTGAAATGCAACTGGCCAGGGCATCTAACGGGGACATCCGACACAAGCGGTGGGTACATTTGAAATAATAATGGAGACGATGGGGCAAAAAAGGAAAGTGGAAGACAGCAAAGGAGATGGTGGGATGATGATATTGGAGGATCACGCAACTTGGAGGTGACGAGACATCGTGAAGAGTGGAAAACTTTGTCCAAAAGTTGGGGCGTTAATGGCAAAGAAAGACATTGTCCTCTTGCAGTCGAATGCAAGTGTGATGATTTCTCCTTTACATTGCATGGCTGTCTACTTTGTACATATAATGTGAACTGGCCAAGTAACAAGTGCGCTCGTTTTTATTTTAACATAACAATGACACTGTTACTTTTGCGAGAGATATAACTGAGAATATGATTCTCACATACGGTAGTCTTGGTGGTAGGCTCCCCGTGGGTTCTCGAGCCTTCTTTGAATGGGAATTGATTATTCCCATTTGCTGAGTCTGTGCTGTTTCCTGTTCCACACTGGGACGCGTCTCTGCTACGCAGCTGGAGTAGGGGGCGTCGTGCCTTTAACATGCACAAAATGTCAAAGCGGCCCTCTATTGTTGCTTTGACCCAGTGCGTTCTTTCACTTTGCTGTTGTAACTTTGTTGTGTCCATCTGTGTGCGGCTTTTCATTCATCCAAAACTAAAGTTCTTGTGTTTTTTTTTAAAGAACATCCGCCTTCTCTGCAGTCCTACGACATGAGCACATGTGTGTGCCATACTCGCGAGAGGTCTGATGTTTTTAGCGAGGCTTAATTTTAGTGTGGACACTGTGGCACCGTTCCCACGATGGTAAACATTGCACACAATGTTGATGCAGCCTGGGGGCCAGGATTTGTTATGGGGGTGGGTGCGGTGCATCGGCAATTGCAGCACTGTACAAGCTGTTGCTCAAGACTCAATAAAATCTGTAATTGGATGTCCGTTGGATGCATCTTAAATTTTCAACTCGACGCAAATGAATGATGTATGTGTGTTGAACTTCTTTCTCACCGTACGTAGCCAACCGAGATAATCGGAGGTGCGTAAATGCAGAACGACAATTCCTTTACAACGGGAGTTTTGTTTGTTTAGGGCATTGTTTCACATGAGTAGAACACATGTATATGTGTACACAACATATTCAACAGTATATGTTATATCTATATCAATTCTTTATTTCTATAGCACTATTTCGTGCAAAAGATGCAATTGAAATTGCTGTACAGGTAAAATTAAACATTGTTAAAAGACTAAATCGCAAGAACAATAAAAACTATTTCCATACAAAACAAAATTGTATTACAATACATTTCTAGCGAAGGCATATAAAAATAACACAAAGTATCTTAAGTAAAAGCAAGTTTATCGATTTCACTTAAAATTGCTTAATGATTGCGAAGAACCTCAGATCCCCTGGCAGGCTGTTCCACAGGCGAGGACCATACACACTAAAGGCTGCGTCTCCGTGAGTGTTAGTCCTGGCCCTTTGGACGACTAAAAGACTGGAAACAGAGGATCTGAGGGATTTTGACAAAGAAATTGGAAAAGCTGGAAATAGTGTATCCAGGAGAGGCACATGTTTGGAATTGCACCAAGAGACAGAAAAAAGAACACTGGAATATGTCAGAGACTTCATAATGGAATCCTATTAAGAAAAGTAAGAGGGTGTGTGCTGGACACATGGATAGAAGTGCTGATGGCCGGTGGTTGAGACTTTACATGTAGTGGCAGTCAAAGCATGTACAAACTCGAGAGGCTGTCCACCATGGTGAAGGATTTATTAAGCCAACTCGTCTGCATGTGGCATGTTTGCATAATAGGACTATGAAAGATGGCGACTTCTTGGGGAAGCCATTAAACCAGCTGTGTGAAAGATCTTGCCTGGTTATCATGATGATTACTATGTTGGAGGACTGCTTGATAGTGGAATGCTGCACACTGACACTTTACCCACACTTGTAAATAATTCCTACCGAAAAATATAAGGTGGTTTTATTATCTAAAATGCAAGCTCGGCTCAATATCTTGTACAAATATTAGTCATACATTGAGACTTCAGTGGCTAAATATACATTTCCCAATGTGTTTTAGCCAAACATATTTAAATATTTTTCAGCTGAATTATGGTTGAGTGGTTTTAGCTCTAAAAATGCAATCTTAAGCCTAAATACATGACCTTTAGGGGCTTTGTAGTATGCCTTTTATCTTTGTGTCTTGTACTGTACTTTTATTTGCATTTTATCTTCATCTTACATGCTTCTGACATTGGGCTTGGAGCACACGCCCCACGAAAATATGTTTAAAAATATCACCATATAACTTTTCCCTGGAATGTATTCAATTTGAATATAGGCTCCTTGTGGACATTTGCTTGATGATGAAACAGGCAGCAACCACTCTCTCTCTCTTGCAGGTAAATATCGCTTCAGCGTGCCGAAGTGAGTGATGGAGAATTATTCAGGCTTCTTCCTGGATTGCTCCTGAACAATCCTGAGGAGTCTTGGAGTCGAATACACATTAGCCCAGTATAGCTTGTGCCTGCAACAGCATTCAACAGTGGCAGAGATACAATGGGCAGAGATACCATGGAAGAAGCAGAAAAAAATCAATGGTGATCGACTCCTCAATGGTGAAGTCAGTCGGAACAATGCTGGAACAACATGCGATGCATAAGACTGAAGGTGGGCTATGCTGGAAAAATGTATAAAGACTGGTCAGCCATGCCTCTTTGATTTTCAGGCTTCCTTCTGGTCACTGGCCAGGGAAGCTTGGCATACTTGCAGCTGAAATGAATTGTGTGCGGCCAAAGTGATTCTTTGCTTCGAAAAAGGAGCCAAACTTGAAGGGGGGGGGGGGGGAAAGCGCATCTCGAGGGCGTCGAGCCATGAGGCTGCTTGAGGGAGGTGTCTTCCTGAGGGTGCTACTGCTCGTGCTGCTGCTGTGTCCCGGGGGAGGGCGAGGCGCCGGGGATGGAATTTTCATCGTTCCATCCCTGCCGCCCGAGCCCTCTCGTCCCCCGTTCAACTGCAACCACACGTCCATCAAGCTGGACTTCTCATCCAGCGTGGTCAGCAATGGTAAGTGCTCGCAGGACCCCCGGCACAAATGCCTTTGCATCTGAAATAAACCTCGATGGAAATGGCTCGATGACATTCTGCCAGTGGTGTCACAAAGTGTACCCTTTACTTTAAAAATTTGACTGACCATTTTGTGGGCATACAACAATCCCGCCTTCATTTCTCCACCCATTTCATTAGTGTGGGAGTCTAACGTTATGTTTTGGTCTGCTACTTAGGGAGGTTTTTTTTTCTGTGCTTTCAAAGTTCTTTCAATGTCATGAGTGAGCTCTTCTTAAATTGAAATAATAGCTCGCTCTTTCTGTTAGATTGGTACTTGTATATTTCATGAGCACATCCTTTTAAAATCATAGTAAATGTGGACCTGCCAATCTACATGTTTGTAAAAAAAAATCATGATTGGTTTTGACCAGTGGGTCCCACTTAACAGTGAGAGCTATGAGTTTACAACTCATGTACTGTACATATAAACAAGTAATATAGCTTAGCACACATGGTTATGGTTGCTCTTTGTGGTATCTGTTTTAACCTTAAGACACCTACATATCTGTTTCACAGGATGTGTTTATGATTGTATTTTAAAGTACATTTTCAAAGGTTGGATTTTATTGCATTTGCAGTAACTGAATGACACACTCCAACACATCTTTTTTTTTAGTAAACTCCTGTTTCTTTGTATAATTTCTAGGGATAATGCAAACCTACCAACTTGCACTTACCACTGTGTACTCTGGGCAGGACTGTCAGTGCAAAGTGGATCATTGGTGGAAATGTTTAAGTCAATGCTCAAGCACTCCGGCATAGCCGGATGCGTGCACGCTCAGGTATTAATACTGCCTCTGCTATGCGTGCGATCTAAACTTAAGCACTGCCATGTGCTTAGTTTAGCGGATTTGACTTTCATATTCAACCTTTGCATATCATACCCCTTGGAGACGACCATTGCGTGCGTTGACCTAAGGCACTCCATCTGGACGAACCAAGCACAATAGTGATAATTAAATAGCTAAGCCGAGACATGTGGTGAATTGGAAAATTAATGTTCCTGCAACAAATCCAGGGAAGTAATGCTTATCACTCTGATCACAAAACTGCAGTGTTGTAGCATACAGTCTGCTTCATTTTTACAGCAGCAATGCTGTAATTGTTGCCTGCTTTCATAGGTCTGGTTACTCTATCAAAATGAGACCAGTGCACAGTAATGTTCGTGTGTAAGCACAGTTTGCTTCGCTTAAGTTGCCTTCTCACCTGTTCAGTTTATCGGACCTCAGCAGTTCAGTTCATTGAATGGCAATGTTATGTAGTCAGGGCAGTGTTGATGTACACAATGGCATGTGTGTGTTGCACCAATTACCTTAAAGAATACTCAATGCATATATAAGATTACCACTTGCTACTTAAAGAAAATGAGTCGCTTGTCCCCCCCCCCACCACCTCGACTGGCAAGCTAAATGTGGAGGCACACTGTGGCCTGGTTTTACTTTGCAACTGTGAAGGGACGGCATTTAATGTGGATCAGTACTCATGATGTGCATTCCCAGTGGCTGCATAGCTCGCAACCCATGATCATCATTCAGATCGATAGAGCTAAATCCTGCTCACAGACTTGCAGATCCTGTCAGCCTCTTGAAGTGGGATGTTTATGTGTCATTTGCATGCTCACTGTTAAAACAGATTAAATACTTTGCGCTGCCAATTTCAAATGTTTTTTTATGCGTTGTGCAAAAACTTGGTTTAACAAGTGGCTGCTGTTACATAATCTGTGTATACACACTGTAAAAGAATGTTCATTACAGTTCAATATGACAGTATATGCTCTTATTGTACATCCTGTGCGCATATCACTCATTGTCAGTGACAGATTCTTTAAAGGCCAAGGTTAAGGCTGCGACATTTTGAAAGTAGAGTGGAGCATGAGGTGCCGGGTGGGCCCTCTCGACTCCAGGCCATCCCTTGCGTGAAGCGGGCGGCACAGTGATGCGCCAGATGCACTTCGCATGGATTTTGTTAGAATTAAAGCCGCCCCGCGAATGGCTGCTGCACAGAAAGTGGCTCACTGGCAGCAGCAGCTGCTGCTTGTGACCGACGGTTTGAAAGAACACTTCTGTTTCCTTCTGAATGGACACTTGTCATTTTAGTGCTTTGTATGGTCTTTTTAAACTTAATTTTTTGCTGTTATTTTAAAACTTGAATGCTTTCGGTTTGTTTTGTTGTATGAAATTAAGCTACCAGATAGTCTGCTCTGTAGCTGATGTATTGCAATACATATTTGTTTTCCATCAGACGTTTACACACACGAACAAAACCATTTCTATGAATGTAATATTAAGCCAAATACTCCAGATTCTGGAAATGTATTTTGGAGTTTGATGCTTATTTTATTTGGCATTTCATATGTTTTTGGATAAGTCAATAGCTTGTTATTGGAATTTTATAATACTTTGGAAGGTTTGGCTGTTCATAAAAAGATAAATCCAGCACAGTGATACATTGCTCTTTTTTATGACATTTTACACTCCACTGTTTTTTGTCTCTTGCAAAAACAACTTAGCAGGGTGGTGGTAATGTTATAAAATAGCTGTTGTCTTGTACCTTTCTTATCAGCAATCATAACTTCAAATTGTGAGCCAGTTTCCAATTGACTGGTTTTGGTCTCGTTCACAGCCTGGCATAAAACCAGCTCTTGGCAGCAATATGTGGCCAAATAAAGTACTGGGTGTGATCGTGGCTTACATACTCCACTCATGAGCCAGGCCAGGAAATAAGCGACCTCTTAATTTGTACCACATTGAGATGACCATTTGCTATTTGTGAAGAGTTCAAGTTAGCACAATAATGCACATTTTTTTGCTCAAGTTTCACTTATGGATGGATGTGATGTAGAACATATTTGTTGGCACTTTTGCCCCTCTTGCCTCAGAGGACATTGCAGGATGATTTCATCATCAGCATATTATTCCGTACTTTTACAAATTAGTGTCACAGTTCATTCTCAGTAGCAATGCACAATATACAAAGTAGACATTACTATTCAAGGGTCTGGATCACACACTGTATTTTCGTGAAAATTCAAAATCCACTGAGCTGTGAATTGCCGAGGAAATGGCAGTACACCAAGTTGGTTCATGAAAGCATCGTTGCAGTCTTTTTATTACTATCTCTTTTTTTATACTCTCGGATATTCTTTTGACACTCAGGTTTCTTTTCATACACAAAACACTCATTAAAAAGGAATTGGCCACACAACCCAATGTATCGCCCTCCTAAAAAAATATAGAAACTTGGTGAGACTTCCCTGAATGAATAAATAAAGGGCATATTTATTATTAGAACCATAATAATTGGCACCTCCGATTAGCACGGTTGGCTACGTACGGTGCGAAAGACATTCATACAGTCATCAATGCAGAGCAGGTATTGAGAGTGCGCGCATGAAGGATGATAAACGAATCGGAGGACACAGCCCACGTGCTGCCTTGTGACACCTTTGACGGATTGCTGTGCCGGTTGCAGAATACATCGTGACGTTCAACGGGTACTTCACAGCGCGAGCACGACACTCCTTCGTGGCGGGCGCCTTAAGGGGCGCCGGCGTGTCGTCGTGGCACGTGGTGCCGCGGCACAATGCTGCCAGTGACTTCCCGAGTGACTTCGAGGTGGTGACAATCGGCGAGCGGCGTCGGCACGGCATCGCCGCTCTCGAGCGGCACCCAAGCGTGCGCCGTGTAACGCCGCAGCGCCGTGTTGTACGCTCGCTCAAGTTCGTGGACGGTGAGTCTACCGTCTGGTGCCCGGGGCAAAATCGTGCTGTGTCATCCCATACCATTGCATGTGAGGCAAAGGTTGCCCCTGTGTTGTCTGTTAAACGGAGATGCATCCAATTAAGTCACTAGGCAGATGGCTCCAGAGGTCAGTGCCGAGCTGACACCGTTGAGTATCCTTGAGAACCCGATTAAATCTGTTTCTCAAGTTTAATGAGTTGGTCGTAGCCGGATGTCACATGGATCAAAAACATGGATATTGACAAAAAGTTAAAAAAACTTTAAAGTGCGCCAAGAAGCATAGGGAGGTACATGCTTGTAACAATGAAACCTGGAGTTGGTTGTGGTCATATTTGCAAAATACACAAATGTTAGTGTTTTCTCATTTTTAATGCGTTTTATTTTTCTTTCAATTAAATGTGTATTTAATATGAACAAAACTACAATGAAGCGTTATTTCAATTTGCTAAAAATTGTATACATTTCATATCATACTTTTTTAGAGAAGAAAAAAATCTGGCTAGCTGTCTGACTTGTGCGGTGTCGGGTGATGTCATCTGCGTTTAACCGGATTCGTGCATCGCCCTGACGTCATGTCTCCACCCCCCACCCACCCACCCCCCATCATGGCCGTGTATCCCACGCAAATACCCAGGCAGTGCAAGTGTACATGGAATATTTTAAAATGCCCGCTGTTGCATCTTAACATATTTATCTCTTAGCAGCGATTTCCTTTTTTACATGTTTGTACAGAGCTCTTTGCCACTTTGTTTTTCATATTTAAAAACTGAAGCTTTCCCAGTAAGCCTCTAAAGCATGCATTTATAAGACATTAATCCACTGTTTGCACACAGACCCACCTTGGAGGCATGCTTGCATACACAGTGCTTTTCAATCGGTTCTGTCAAATGGAGGCTCTTTGGTGACCCTTCTGTGAAGCACATGTTCCATAGATGATTGCCGCAGTGTCTGTAGTGTAAAATAACAACCGATATTACGTTGTTATTTTTTGTTTGTTAAGACAGACTCGTTTGACTTGATTCCCCCACTTGCTTTACAGAGTCACCTTGCAACGGCTCTGCGGGGTGGCCCCAGAAATGGCAATCTTCGCGCGCCCTGCGCCGTACCAGCCTCTCGCTGGGATCCAACTTCTGGCGTTCGACAGGACGCCACTCGTCGCGGCGCCTTCTGCGCGCCATCCCGCGCCAGGTTGCGCAGACCTTGCAGGCCGACTCGCTCTGGGGCATGGGCTTCACAGGTGTGCGGTCGGCTTGGGCGGAGCGGTGGCAAGATGCTTAACTTCCTCGCCACAGGAGGTCGTAGGGTTCGATCCCGACCCTGATGCCTGTATATTTGGAGTTTGCGTGTTCTCCCCATGGTCGTGTGGATTTTTCTCCAGCTCCTCCGGTTTTTCCCTCCACATTTAGAAACATGCGTTCAGAGTATTTGGCTGCTATACATTTGCACATGATAAGCCACTTTGTTGAGTTTTCATTTGTGACAGGGTCGCTTCTGAAAAAGAGCTATATAACTCAGTGGACCTTACCTGGTAAAATAAAAACAACTTTTTTTTGTTTAAAGAGACTAATCGTATGGGTCTGTTTGAGCTGTAGTTGATTCAGTTAGCTGTGCAACTCAACTGTGCCAGAACCATGCTGAGCCAGCCCGCTGATGCTCAGGAAGCGACAGGTTATTTCACCGCAAAAGCCGAGCTGTGTTGCTGAGTTCGCATGCATTTAACGTGTCATTAGCCCTACGCCTAGGCCCTGCTTGGCTCCAAATCCCATTCACATCTTGCAGGACGAACTTATTAAGGTTTGGTTAGACTCAGTTTGGCAAATTGTCAGTGAAAATCCATGCATACTATGAGGGCCCCAAAAGGGCTTGACTTTGTTTAGCCTTTGGAAAAAGGGGCATCAGTCAAGTCATCTTCAGCCTTGTTCGCCAATTACATTGCCATAGAAACGTTGCCATCGGTCAATGTCAACCATTATCAGTGTAGCCTCTTTCTGAATGTCAATATAGTTTTTAAATGTCTCGTATCATAATGAGGTCTGAGTCAGGCCTCTGGCTCAATACCAGTGACTACATCCTTGAGATGATATGATTGCCTGTCAATCTGCTCTGTAAACCCTCTAGAGGCTTTGTAAACGGTAATAATAAGAACAAAGAACTCATTCTAATATTTCATTGGTTGCTAAATATAAGAGTGATTAGTTAATATCAGACATTTGTCTTGAGAGGTTGAAAATAAAAAAACAGTACTTTTCACGTAAGTTAACTATTTAAAAATAGGTAATTTGCCTCAGCATTGTTCTGCTGTTTTCCACAGGAAAAAAATATTTAGGTTGGAAATTATTTGGCAAGTATTATGTCAAATCACTTCGCATAAAATCGTAAATTACTAAGTATATAAGGAATGCATAGAAAATATAGATGCAATGATTATTAACATATATTTGTAGGTATTATTTAATCGGCATTACAATTCGGGTTTATCTAATTATAAAGTTAAATAAATTGCCACTTTTCTCGAGAATTTGTCAAACTACTTGTTAAAACTAGACGTGCGCAATGATCACTTTTTGAACATTTGAGCCTCGGTATTTAAGCAAAACATATTTTGCTGACCGTGGGGTTTCTAAAAATGCATCTTCAGCACTGTTACTGCGCGTAAGCGTGATTGCAATGACAGTGTTCCATTGGTAGGAGTCCACTCAAGGTGTCATTACGCAAACTACGAGAGAGGAATTTAACCTTTTAATGTCAGCTCAACATTTTTGTGGATCAGACCGAGTAGTGATTGGAGTAATTGCAGCTGTCGATCTTCTGATCGTTATTTAAAACATGAAGTTGCAATTGGTGTTTTTTTTCATGATAATTTATATGCTTAGGTTGTGAAAGATGGTGCAGAAGGAGGTGCTTAAACGATAAATATATGCTGCTGTATTTTCCTGAAGCTATCCAAAATGTAGACGGCACACATCGTGTTACTATGCTGGATAATGGTATTTCAAAATTGTAAACAATTTTAATAAAGGCATTCTTAAAAACTGTGTTTCTATATCCATTGTAGGGGCCAAAAATAGATTATTTGTAACTGTGTGCCAGATGTATTTCACCAGGATGAGCCTGGCTAAATGCATCTGCCAATGTAGAATCTCCACGACTGGGCTGGGCTGTCTCCACAGTTGTACGGTGGTGATGTTGTCTGTGACAGGAGCTGGTGTGCGGGTGGCTGTGTTTGACACCGGATTGAGCGAGCGACACCCCCACTTCAAGAATGTGAAGGAGCGCACCAACTGGACTAACGAGAAAACACTCGACGACGGTGCGCGACAACACATCGCCTTCCTCGTTTCTGTCACTACCTCGGTCGTGGTCAGCTTGAAGCAGGCTTGCGTCGATGACCACTGTTATGTGTATATATTTAGGTGGAAACTCTTTTGCAACCATACATAGCTAACCCTGCTAATCGGAGGTCTGGAGGGGAAGACAGCAAACTAAACGCAAAAAAACAGTTCTAAAGAAATGAGTTTTCAATCTAGATTTAAAAGTGCATAGTTCCAGTGGCTTTCTAATATTATGGCCAGCTGAAGCAGCATGCATCTATAAGCTTGATGGCTCACTTTGTGAAAATCATTAAAATAATTTTCTGTATTATCTAATTAAGCAATGGATAAAGGTACAGATATATTAGGAGGCATCACAAGGGAATTATAGTTGAAGATTCCACCCCCTTAAACATTTTTTTGGGACTGCATTTGTGTTGGATAGTAAGTGGATACTAAAATAACATCTTGCTTGAGCTCACTACATTTTCCAAAGCTCCTGATGCCCTTGTGAGGTAGTGTCTAGTCGGCAGCCCTCCCACGCATGCTATTGGGGTTTGATTACTGTTTCCATAGACAGCAAGCGTGTTTCCCCAGGGTAACTCATCCTTCCTGAGATAATTGAAGCTGTGCAAGAGAAGTGTATCCCAACAACACGTCCTCCACATGGTCCTCTGGGGATATGCAAAATTGTGTCTGTTTTTCCCCCGTTGTGTTAAAATCATGGTTGAGCCAGCATGTGGGAAGTGCAAGATTTGTTCTTTTTGCTCACTGCATATGCGTGCTTGTATAGTGAAATGGTATTCTAAACCAAAACAATGGAACATTCTTTATTCTGTTTGATATATTTTAGTCTTTGCATGCCTATATTTCACCTCTTTTACTTTTTATTTAGGAAGGTGAAACAAAGTTACATGAAGAGCCTTAGCTATTGACTACTATTTAATAAATACTTTAGGCAAAAGCTTTCGACTTAGTTTTCTTTGGTATTCATAATATAACAGGCACACTTAATTCAGGGTAACATATCACTGTTTCTTAACAGATATGCTGTGGCGTTTCTACGTTAAGGTGAAGTTTTGACTTAAAGGACAGATAATAAAGATTCTTAAATGTTGAGCTTAGAGATAGTTGATTAATGGAGTTAGGCTGCCAAGCTGCATATTCCTTTGAGCACCTGAAGTCAATGATACCATTGATGATAGAATGGCACGACATTTCAGGAGGGGGGATGTCTTTGATGTGTTCCCAGGGTCATGCCTCACCCAGGAGGATGCTTACTGTGCACATCTCTTAAATTTTATCGCTGAAGGAGTGGCTGTATTCCCCTGCAGCCCTGAGGGATAGTGAGTGACTTGAGTGGAGTGTTCCCCAGTTTGAGCCAATAAAATGCCATCACAGAGGAATCATTGACACTGTTGGCACCATTTCTATCTTGCTGACACGAAACATTGTGCAGTGCTTTTAACTAGAGTAGCCCGTCGAGGTCCAGTCTTTGCAAAATTAACTCAATCATTTTCCAAATCACAGTCTATGTGGTTGGTCTTGATATTGAATTTGCCGCTGAGCTTAAGAAATAGTTAAATGCCTTGGGTCCGAAAGACATTTAAATAAACATAGCAGATGCAGACAGATGGCTTCCCCGGTACATTTGTAGCCAACATTTTTAAGTGCTATACTTTGAGCTTTTATTCTATATTTAAAAGTTATTGGCACCATTTTTGCGATGGTGTTGGCTTTTGTCTAATGTGGTTCGACGTCACTGTGTTTTTGGGCTCAGGATTTTTTTTTTATTTAATGAGAAAGGACTGTCCACACCATTGCGTGTAGATTTTTGCATCTCTGCTAACACCTGCTTTAAAAAAAATGACGTAATTAATCACTGGCACACATCGCACTTGTTTTACTTCTCAGCAGAGCAATTTCCCAATGAAGTCATTGGAACATTCTTCTATGCTGCCAGATTTGCATGCTGAATAAATGGGTTATTTATTAACCTTGTCTCTTTTTTCACCTTGATACACAATGGTAGATTTCAGTAAATACTTGGCTGTTGCTGTGTGATTGGTGCAGGACTGGGCCATGGCACTTTCGTGGCAGGGGTGATTGCTAGCATGCGGGAGTGCCAAGGATTCGCTCCTGATGCCGAGCTACACATCTTTCGCGTTTTTACCAACAACCAGGTAATGGATGTTGTTAATGATGGCCTTGTGATTAAAAGGTTACAAGTATGTTTGGTTAAAAGTGTCGTGGTTGGGCAGAGGTTCTTGACTCAGAGATATAGAGTTGTAGGTGACCAGAAAAAGTTTTCTTACAGTGGGAGCTTGCACAGCTGACCTCTTTAATTGTTAAATAAATCACTCCTTTAGAAAGCATTGGCCAAATATTCCAATGTCGTAAAGTCCTAGGTCACCTCTCCCCACCTTCACGAGCCCGCACCAACCAGTGTGGAGAAGTATGGTAAAATAACCCCTATGACTGACACGGCATGGGAAGCCTTAATTCAGTAGTTGATTGACGAAGAGGTTTGGATTATGTGAGTTATCCTTGTTTTGATATGTATAACTAGACAAATCAGCAAAATAAAATGTTCCATTATTGTTCTATAAATATGGTGGCCCATGGTTAGATTGGTGGTACTCCGAGTATAGGGTCAGCCTAAAGTAGTATACAGTGAGGGAAAAAAGTATTTCAAGCAACAGACAATTGTTTATTGTTTTGTTATTAACCTTTAAATTGGGTAATATTTCGGAAGGTGCATTAAAATAATCCGCAATCATTGACATGCTTTTATGTCTCGTGCTCAGAATAAGTGGTTGATCGCGGCCCTCCTTTAACTACGCATGTTGCTCGGCTGTTTAAATCTCGGGTGCCGTTAAATAGTTAATGATAATTCCGCCACTGTTATGTAATTTACTACATAACGACACTCTAATAATGCTGTAATTTTCACCACACAAGCAACTTTAACCCTTACTGGTTCATGAGCACGTCCGCCGCAGAGACGGAGAGATATAATATCTCCCCCGTGTGCATGTAGATTATTACATTACAGGATGGTGAGAGATGGTAGCGGCATGGGGAAGCCTTCATCTAGGAGTGGATTGACTCTGGCTTATGACTTTGAGTGTATCATATATATAAAACTCTATATAGGATACTCTTTAAATGTATGTACAGTGAGGGAAAAAAGTATTTGATCCCCTATTGATTTTGTATGTTTGCCCACTGACAAAGAAATGATCAGTCTATAATTTTAATGGTAGGTTTATTTGAACAGTGAGAGACAGAATAACAACAAAAAAATCAAGAAAATGCATGTCAAAAAGGTTATAAATTGATTTCCATTTTAATGAGGGAAATAAGTATTTGACCCCCTCTCAATCAGAAACATTTCTGGCTCCCAGGTGTCTTTTATACAGGTAACCAGCTGAGATTAGGAGCACACTCTTAAAGGGAGTGCTCCTAATCTCAGCTTGTTACCTGTATAAAAGACACTTGTCCACAGAAGCGATCAATCAGATTCCAAACTCTCCACCATGGCCAAGACCAAAGAGCTCTCCAAGGATGTCAGGGACAAGATTGTAGACCCACACAAGGTTGGAATGGGCTACAAGACCATTGACAAGCAGCTTGGTGAGAAGGTGACAACAGTTGGTGCGATTATTCGGAAATGGAAAAAACGCAAAAGAACTGTCAATCTCCCTCGGCCTGGGGCTCCATGCAAGATCTCACCTCGTGAAGTTGCAATGATCATGAGAACGGTGAGGAATCAGCCCAGAACTACACGGGAGGATCTTGTCAATGATCTCAAGGCAGCTGGGACCATAGTCACCAAGAAAACAATTGGTAACACACTACGCCGTGAAGGACTGAAATCCTGCAGCACCCACAAGGTCCCCCTGCTCAAGAAAGCACATATACATGCCCGTCTGAAGTTTGCCTATGAACATCTGAATGATTCAGAGGACAACTGGGTGAAAGTGTTGTGGTCAGATGAGACCAAAATGGAGCTCTTTGGCATCAACTCAACTCGCCGTGTTTGGAGGAGGAGGAATGCTGCCTATGACCCCAAGAACCCCATCCCCACCGTCAAACATGGAGGTGGATACATTATGCTTTGGGGGTGTTTTTCTGCTAAGGGGACAGGACAACTTCACCGCATCAAAGGGATGATGGACGGGGCCATGTACTGTCAAATATTGGGTGAGAACCTCCTTCCCTCAGCTAGGGCATTGAAAATGGGTCGTGGATGGGTATTCCAGCATGACAATGACCCAAAACACACGGCCAAGGCAACAAAGGAGTGGCTTAAGAAGAAGCACATTAAGGTCCTGGAGTGGCCTAGCCAGTCTCCAGACTTTAATCCCATAGAAAATCTGTGGAGGGAGCTGAAGGTTCGAGATGCCAAACGTCAGCCTCAACCTTAATGACTTGGAGAAGATCTGCAAAGAGGAGTGGGACAAAATCCCTCCTGAGATGTGTGTAAGCCTAGTGGCCAACTACAAGAAACGTCTGACCTCTGTGATTGCCAACAAGGGTTTTGCCACCAAGTACTAAGTCATGTTTTGCAGAGGTGTCTAATACTTATTTCCCTCATTAAAATGCAAATCAATTTATAACATTTTTGACATGCGTTTTTCTGGATTTTTTCTTATTCTGTCTCTCAATGTTCAAATAAACCTACCATTAAAATGATAGACTAATCATTTATTTGTCAGTGGGTAAAAGTACAAAATCAGCAGGGGATCAAATACTTTTTTCCTTCACTGTATTGCTTTATTTCTCACACTAAACACTTCCACATAAATGAGCCCCAGTGTTCGTGAACCAATTCATATTCTACCCATGAAGTGTAATTTAAAAACTGTCAGAGGAAGCTCACTACTGTGTACTGACAGATGCTCGACCAGATGACGCCAAAAGGCGTACAGCTCAAAGACAATGCAAGTAATGAGGGCTCGGGGTGAGCATCTACATCATTAGACCTCCTTTGGTCGAGCACCAATTGGGTCGAGGCTCGAAAGAAAGCCGTCCCTTGGTGTGGACCAATCAGTTTCAAGGACAATGCATATATTATTATAGTATGTTTTTTTTGTATGCATTTTGACTGCAGGTATTGTGGTTAATGCAGACATGAATCCTTGTAAAAAGGTTTCAGTTTTGTTGCCAGAAAAAAGGAGAAAAACCCTATTATTGATCCAAGCAGTGTTTATGCTTCTTTATTTGGTCAATGACCAGCTTTACACCTTCATGGCAACTACACCAAGTTCTGTGTTTTTCAATTAAACATAAAATAGTGCCTTAGTCTTGGATTCCACTGCCCTTACATCATTGTTTGCTGTGCAGATGCTGTGATCTTCGAATTATTTTGAATGGCGTTATGATGTATTTAATTAGATTTCTGAGTTAAGATGTAGCTGATTTTGTGCTGGGTATAAATGATAACAATATCTTTCCACCAAATCATATCATGTTCCAGTTGTTTTATATTGAGCTATATATATATCACCTGTGCAAATTTTTCAGTTGCTTTTATTTAATTTGCTATCCCGAATGATGTCACCTTTCGTTTTAAAAATATAGGTGAAGAATGTTTGTTTTATGGTGTGATGCACTGAAGCTTTGATAAATTCTATTAGTATTATATTCGACCTGTGTGCATGTGTACAGGTATCCTACACCTCGTGGTTCCTGGACGCTTTCAACTACGCCATCCAGAAGAAGATCAATGTGCTGAACCTCAGTATCGGTGGGCCTGACTTCATGGACCACCCATTTGTAGATAAGGTGAGCAAGTCAGGAATATTCAAAGCAGAAGTTGGAGCAAAGTTGCATCAGAGCACATGGGCAACACCTGCTTAAAGCTACGTGTAGTTGGTTTAAATCGGGAGTGGGAAACCTGTGACCCGTGCCTTAATCTCATATGACCTGCAGGCGCATGAGACCTGACACTTAAAAACGGCGTGTAAAACAGTATTCATCCTTCACTGAAAGCATCTTAGCTGCACTGATCATCAGGTACTGGAATTAAATATTTTCTACCTGACAACACTGTTAATCGTGTTAGTGCGCTGTCACTGCAAGGGCCATTTTCAGTTACAGAAGTAACTAAGTTGTGTTCGTTAATGTGTGGCCCACAAAAGGTATTTGAAAGTCCTATTCGGCCTTCATTAAGGAATTGGTTTCCCCACTCCTGATTTCGACCCTGGAGGCAATGTTGAAATGACAGTCTTTTATAATTTTTAATGATTTGTGGTAGTGCGGCTATTTACATACGGTGTTTTATTGTATGTGTGTTCTTATGCTTTAAGAGCTAATCGGTTTCTTTTTGTTAAACCTGGCAGGTTTGGGAACTCACAGCTAACAAGGTCATAATGGTGTCAGCAATAGGGAATGATGGCCCTTTGTACGGGTAAGTGTCTTTTAATAAGTGAACCAGAATTGTAATATGGGGATCTTGTTTTATATTGAACCCTGCGGTGGAAACATTTGGACTGCTTGTACATGAAACGCAGCCTTCGACTGTGCATATTGTAAATATCCCCCCCCCCCCCACATGAAGTGGGAATAAATTATGTTGAACATACACATTCATTATATACCTCTTGTATATAATTATCCTTTGCTTGGTGTGTCAGTAAGTAACGCCAGGTTATAGCATAAAGGTTATATTTACGTTTCTTTAAACGTTTAACGGAGGTATCATCTGAGGGTCTGATTGTTCATTATTTTTAATTGTGTACATTCATTACACATTCAAGATCTGTCGATTTCCCTTTGCACTCATTTATTTTGCGCGCCTTGGTTCATTCCTAGGAATGGCATTCATACAATTTAGTCATTCAGTCCATTTGTGAATATAAACGTGGGAATAAGCACAAGTATTATTTGTGTTGTAAAGGGTAAGTGTGGACTGACTTTTATGCACATATTTGCGTGTGTGCAGCACCCTCAACAATCCGGCCGACCAGATGGACGTGATCGGGGTGGGGGGCATTGACTTTGAGGACAACATCGCCCGTTTTTCCTCCAGAGGGATGACCACCTGGGTATGCGTGGGGCTGATAACTCGAGTTGAGCTAAAATGCCACAATGGTAGACTCCAAATAATAACTACACTAGATTCCTAGTTACTGACATCAGTGAGATTAGGCTTCTAACTCAAGGTAAAATACCACCATGGTAGACTCCTAAATACTGACTACACTAGACTCCTAGTTATTGACATCAGTGAGACTAGGCTTCTGATTGTCACTAAATGACCTCGTGTGTAAGTACAACAATTAATCAATCCACTGCTGGATGAACCCCCATGCTAATATTAATGGGCAGAAATGAGTGAACCAGAACAGTTTCCAGGAAAGAAAACGTTAACGCTGTCATCAATAACACTGCCTCATCAGGTTATGAGAGCTTGGGAAAATAGATGATGGGAGGGAATTCCAAAGTTGAGTCAGTGCCAGGGCAGAAGCACAACGAGAATTGTTTGGTTCCGCGGTGTGGTTGTTGAACACTATGGATGAGGCGATACAGTAGGATGTTGTGACGTCCTTTCCCATGAGCTGTCTTGGCAACAGAAAACACTCCTATGGAGCATGCCGATGGCCACCTCAGAAAATTTACTGTATAGATAGGTGCAAACCGAGTACTCTGCTGCTGATGTCTGCTGTCCTTATAGCTCCTTCTGCTGTCCTTATAGCTCCTCCACCGTTACTGGTCCCCATAAACTTCACCCATTGATTTCTCCACCCATGCTGAGGACTTGGACTACCAGGCTGACTGTTTCAGCTCATCAGTGCTGTGTCCAATCACCACACCGCACAACAAAAAGCAACTTTTTTTTCTGTTCACTTTCCTCACACTCCTCGACTTTGAAATTCTCTCTCATTGTGAAATTCTCTCTCATTGTGAAATTCTCTCTCATTGTCACTTTTCCCAAGTTCTTATAAGCTTGCTCAATGCAATAAATGTATTAACGCCTACCTATTATATGTTCAATAGTTCTGTTCGTGTGCTGGCCATGTGGAGTTTGGGGCTCTTGGACCTGTGTGCAGCAAACCGTGATATTAAAAGATTGTCCACATCACTGCCTGGTGGCTCTTTGAGGACAGCTACGTATTCCTTGAACTCGAGATAGAAGCTAATTGAGCACGTGTGTGTGTGTGTATGTGGCTGTGCAGGAGTTGCCCGGTGGCTATGGACGCATGAAGCCAGACATCGTGACGTACGGCTCGGGTGTACGCGGTTCCGGCATCAACGGTGGTTGCCGCTCGCTATCGGGCACCAGCGTCGCCTCTCCTGTCGTCACTGGCGCCGTCACACTCCTCGCCAGGTGTGTGGTCTCTCCTCCGTAGGGAGCGGTTGTTATCGCGGTTAGCGTGCAGGCACTACGAACATAGCCACCGGGTTCGATTCCTGCTCACGACCAACATCGGTGAGAAATACCTGAACCGTTCCTGGGCCTCCCCAAAGTCGATTCAGCCTCAAATGAGTACCTGGTGCAGTATGTAAACCTTGCTACTTAGGGAGACAAAGGCGGCCGGGTGTGGTGCTCGTCACCCACCCCCTCGTGTGCCGTATCGGCCTTCAGAGGTGCTCGCTAACAGCACTTGCTGCAACAGTCTGTTAAGGCTATAGGAGGATCTTTGTCTTTGGTGTCTCCTCCCCATCCGGACAGGTGCTTGTGTCTGTCCTTCCATCCACTGCTCTGCTTTGGATTACCTTTGGGTAGCTTCTCAGCCAACCAGAAAAGCTAGTGGTCCACGCTGTTAATAACCATGTAAATATGCTTTGATTCAAATTGATTCTTACACTCAACGATATGTGCATTTTAATGTGGCATGCAAATTTAGTATTTATGATCTATGTACATTACATGCAAATGATTTGTTATCATTACATTTAGGCTGAGGAAGCAGACAAAGCATTACACACCTCACAGAAAGATCGCGCACATTGCACACAAGAAGGTAAAAATTAGAAGAATAAATTCTTAAATTGAATGGGGTGGTGGGGTAGTTAATCAGCACCTATCTATCTCATTGTTCAGGTTTGTGTGTCTCTCAGCCTTGTGGCCAGGTGGGTTGGTTGTTTGGGTTCTGTAAACCAGATGGGTTGGGCTTTTTTGGGGGGTTTGTTTACCAGATGGGCAGATTTGGATGTATTAAAGGCGGCGCCGTTCATCTTTGCTCATGTGTGCTTGCCTGTGTCTCGCCTTTGTCGGCATTGCCTGGGTGCAGCTCTGTGCAGAACCGCGACATCATAAACCCTGCCAGTATGAAACAAGCCCTGATGGCTTCCGCACGCCGGCTGCCGGGGGTCAACATGTTTGAACAGGGCCATGGCAAGCTGGACCTGCTGAGGGCATACCAGGTTCTCAACAGCTACAAGCCACAGGCCAGGTGTGTGTGTGTGTGTGCATGCGTGTCAATGTGTATTTTTGCATGGGGAGCGATGGTCTAATGATTAGTGCACTGCATAAGTGTGTGTGCCTGTGTATTTTTCTAAGTGCTTAGGTGCACGCATGCACGTAAACTTGTGTTACACAGACAAAGCGTCATTGTTAAATGACCAGCATTTTACAGTGAATGCTTCCATAGCACTAATCTTCAATACTTTTTCTGTGACTGTTAATCATCCTCATTGCTGTACTGCGCAGCCTGAGCCCCAACTACGTGGACCTGACTGAGTGTCCATACATGTGGCCCTACTGCTCTCAGCCCATCTACTACGGTGGCATGCCCACCATCGTCAATGTCACCATTCTCAATGGCATGGCCGTCACTGGCCGCATTGTTGACAAGGTGAGCCTGCCCCTGCATGATACGGCTAATTTATTATTTCATGGAATTGACTTTATTATCCTGTTATAAGTTACCTCATTAGGAAAGTGACTGGTTGTTTATAAACAGCTTTAGCCTTTTTTTTCTCCATTTGTACTTGGGGATTCGTTTAAGCTGATCTGTCCAGGTCAGCAAACCGGAAAACATTAATGCACCTGGCACACCACATCCAGTATGTTTCACTCGGGCTGTGGATATTAGTCACATGTCTGAAATGCTAGAATTAGAGATGGAATCATTCACCCAACCCCCAATGATTTGATAATTTTAGTGATTCAGGTTTACAATTCGATAAAAAAACATGTTTTTTTTCTGTCATGGTATATGCAGCTGCCACTGGTGGTTGCAGGGGTCATGTAAACCCATTACATAAAACATTTACCAATCGAAAAAATTATTCTTACACACTCAAAATTCCACACATGTATTGTGAGCTTCAGAATCTAGTTCTTATTTTCTTCAGCAGTATAACATTTAAGCGAACCCAGTTGCTTTCATGTAACTTATTTGTGATTAAATGTCACTTCAGTGGGCATTGGGCATAGATGTCGCTCTGAAAGGTTTGCTTTTGCACGTATGCCACAGCCGGTGTGGCAGCCCTACCTGCCACAGAATGGGGACAGCATCGAGGTGGCGTTCTCCTACTCGCAAACACTGTGGCCGTGGTCGGGCTACCTGGCCCTGTCCATCTCTGTGGCCAAAAAGGCGGCCGGGTGGGAAGGGATCGCTCATGGGCACGTCTCTCTCACCATTGCCTCTCCAGCAAATTCACAGGTGGGAAGTTCCACAAATTACGAACCTCACGGTCAAATGAAAATCATTCAAGTCCTACATATGGAGTATTATTTTGATGGTGGATTATGATGGTTTTTTAAAAAAAACTATCTTTATTGGTGAAATGAGCCAATGGTTTGATGTACTCATACTGAATTTACCATCCCAGTGTACATGACAAGTCAGTTCGTCTTGAGTACATCCGACATCATGGTCGTATTTTACGACAATTCCTCGCTTCAATGAAGGCAGTTGCGACTTACATATATTTTGTGTGCATTACGACACGAATGTTTGTTTTAATGTAACCTGGCTGGTGATGCTTTCTGTGGTGTTTGCAGGCAGAGGATAGTAGCGAGCAGACGTCAAGCGTCCGACTGCCTGTGCGCGTCAAGGTGATTCCCACTCCTCCTCGCAGTAAGCGGATCCTCTGGGACCAGTACCACAACCTCCGTTACCCACCAGGCTACTTTCCCCGTGACAACCTGCGCATGAAGAACGACCCTCTCGACTGGTAAAACACACGCAACCTGTCATGACGACCTCCCCTGCTGCATTCGCTTTGAGAACCATATCTCACAGCATTCACGTACTACAACGCAACCAGCATTCGCCGAGAAATGGTGGTGAGGGAGCTTTGCCGGGTAGCTCAAAGGTCAGCATTGAGCTGGCACTGCTGAAATTCTCACTTCGCATCCAGGCAGCCGCCTGTGATTGAGCATAATTTTTAGTGACAGGATGGATAGTTTGGTTTTTGGACATGAACCTGATATAAAAATCACACAATTGGAAAAGAACATTTAAATAAATGGTGATGCGGTCAGTCTGGCATCTGTGTGAAGTTTTACATACATCAAGGCCATGTGAAGTCGTAAGTTTCAGTTATTTTGTTTTTCTAGGTGATATCTCTAGAGACCAGAATCATGTTATCTGCAACAGTGACCTGAGGCATTAGTCTGCCAGTAGGGGGTAATGATTCTTACATATGATCCCAAATTGGTGATATAAGGTTAATTTTAGAATTTGGACCCTGACCCCCGCACACTGGCCTACTCTTGCGAATGACGTCAAGGGGATCTTTAACTTCCACTGTGAAGCAGATGGCGCGTAGTATTATGGTTATTACACTTACAGTAATAATCAGGGTTACCGCTGGATTCGAACTGTGGACCTCTGCAATAAGCAGCGAACGTGCTACCGCTGGGCCATGTCACCGCGCATGAATTGGCGGCAATGCCTCTGACACAGGACAGGTCCCCAAATAGTTTACGTAGACAATCAGTGTGGCCAGGATCTGTGCCAACTGTGAACCCCCACATTCCTGTGCCTCATTTGCATGATGCTCTGCTACACTGTTGAGCTGTTCTTCTCTGCTCACACTTAGATACCTCCCCACATATCTTACAAGCAGTTCTACTGGTGTTTAATATATTTTTCTGTCATCCCCTTTTACGTACCATATCAGTCCTTTTACAAATTATAATTCTAAAACATTGCTTTGGAAAGGCGTCTTGTAACTGTCACGAACCCTCAATAGTCTTCCTACCAGAGTATAGTTTTATTGGAATAATATATACTACTAGCACTCAGTTTCAATGCTGCTGTTCTAAAATATTAATTCTGCTCTGCCTTGCTCAGGAATGGAGACCACATCCACACCAACTTCCGTGACATGTACCAGCACCTGCGCAGCAATGGCTATTTCCTGGAGGTGCTAGGGGCACCAATCACCTGCTTTGATGCCAGCCAATACGGTGAGTCACGCCTCCATATGTAAATATTATAAGCGTGTACATGTACAGCATATCAATCCATATGTTGAATTAGTTTCTCCACTTACTGTGCAGGTAGTTGGGGTTATTTAGCCATATTTCACCACACTGGTTAGTACCGGCTAATGAAGGTGGTGGGGAGCATAGATGTGAGAACTTGGAATCGCAGTACAAACCTTTTGCTTTACTGCCCTCTGCTGCCCACCACATTAACCAGCATGAGGCCTTCATGGTGTGGGTAGGCCTTCGTCCAGCAGGTGGATTGTAAAAAGGGCTGAACAACAAACAGCATTATGTATACGTAGTCAACCGTGCTAATCAGAGGTTTATCGCGTAGCTAATTGTGGTTATGCCATATGGCTTTCTTCAGCAACTGTGTTCATTATCACATGAATGACTGTCCTTGGACCACACTGCTGTTTCTTGACGTGTTCGCGCTGGGAACATTTCCGAGCCTCTTGTTGTCGACGTGGCGTGCAGGCACGCTCGTGCTGGTGGACAGTGAGGAAGAATACTTCCCCGAGGAGGTGTCGAAGCTGAAGCGTGACGTGGACCATGGCCTGTCCGTCATTATCGTGAGCGACTGGTACAACACGTCTGTCATGCAGAAGGTCAAGTTCTACGATGAGAACACCAGGTGAGCGACCTGCTCCAGAGACTTACATTTTGATAGGGTATGGCGAAACATGAGACATCGTGCCGAACAATACGTGGTACACCACGAAAACACATTGGAAAGCCATACCCCATAATTGTTTGCACACCAGTTATGAAACCAACGCTTCTCCTCTTTGGGCCTACAACAATTTTTCTTAATCGGAATTTGATGATTTGTCATGATTTGGAGTTTCCATTCGATTCATGGTGTAACATGTTGGTGCACTCTAGCAGCTATATAGAGGCTGTACGTGTTAAGTGAACTCATGGCAAACAGCATACGAATGAAAAATAATTAATACATGCACAATTCCATGCAGAATCAGACTCGGAATTTTTAGATTGGAATAATGCATAGATCATGAACATAATAATTATTTTTAATAGATTACTTATCATTAGACCCTAATATGGAGATGGTGACACGTTTACAGTGGAGCAGCACACGCATGTTACAAATGTGTGTTTAGTGAGTCGAAGCCATTAGGCCCAATGCCATCTCGGTGTATTAAGTGCACCGGTGTCTCCACATGATGCGTGCAGGCAGTGGTGGATGCCAGACACGGGCGGTGCAAACGTTCCGGCTCTCAATGACCTGCTCACGCCCTGGAACATGGCCTTCAGCGACCGCGTGTTTGAGGGCGACTTCACCATCGGCGACCACGAGAGTAAGTGTGGTCACGGGGAGACGGAGATTGCTCAAACCTGGGTGTACGCCCAGTGCAGGGACAAGTATCGGCTGTTGCTTGTCAGCACATAGGTGCACAGGCAGCAGGATAGGAAAGTCAATTGTCCCTTGTTTATTTTTGCACTTGATAGTTTCAGATGTGCTTCATCTGAAATATAGTTGGGAAAACGGTTATTTGCAGCCATTCCTTGCTTTTCAAATGAGCCGCAGAAGAAGCACAATTTGATGATGCATTGGTTTTATTCGGTGGCACCTCTGCAGTGAGAGCACAGGGTTTATTGATGCCATTGTAATTGGCAAAGCAACAGCATAGATTGCTGTGCTCATAGCAGTGTGTGCATTTGCTTGACCCGAGTGTAAACAAGAGTCAAACACAAATACTGCAAGGGTCGATTAAGAAGTACATTGTATTGTACTTCATGAAAAGTATATCTCATTACAAAAAATGTACAAATGGGGCTTTGTCTGTTTTCAACAAACTAATAAGAATTTGTGTGTAAATTATGTTTTCTGGTTCCCGCAGTGTATTATGCTTCAGGCAGCAGCATTGCGCGTTTCCCCAAAGACGGGATTGTTATTACACAGACGCTGAAGGATCAAGGTAAGCTACTACTGTTGATGGCTATTACAGTCTGTTGCATTCATTCTTCATTTGCGGATTAAACAATTATGGAAATTACTCTTTGTGTTTTTCGGTCAAGTCACGTAGGTAAAATAAAATAAATGAAAACAACTAAATTAAATCATGACGTTTCGGAGGCAACACAAGCTTCCGTCTTCAGGTGGAACAGTCACAGCAAAATAGCTGTATTAAGTGAAGAGCTCTGAGACACCCGAGATTATATTCAGGTTAAGGGGGGGAGAGGAGCCTGGAAGGGACGTGGGTGGGGGGGAGGGCTAAGTTAAGCCACCTTTTGTTATGCTGCAGGGGGTTCGGGGTAGCGGTGGTGCACTGCACAAAAGCGGGTACAACCCACTGGAAGAAATGGAAATGGCTGTACAATTATAAGGCAGCTAAAGTTTCACTTGGTTGATGACATCTTTCCAATGGTTGCTGAATTTAAAACCATCCTCTCGGTTGAAATTGTGTCTATGTTTGTATATCTGGATGGCTTCGTGGACAATTCTTTGGTAATAACCGGGAGGTTTGCATAGTACTTTGGTATCGGAGAAAACAATCTCATGAGAACCCGCTGTGTTGAGACAATGATCAGCCACGGCCGAAGAATTCGTTCTGCCGTGTTTCAAATCTGATTTGTGCTCACGAATTCGGTCAGAAATATGTCGTTTCGTCTCCCCGATAAAGCAGTCACCACAGGTACAACTAAATTGTAAACACCAGGGTTCTGTAAGTCAGGAATGACATCCTTTACGGATGGGATCAGATCACGGATTTTGTGTACTGTATTGAACCGGACCTGGATCTTGTGTTTGTTTAGAATTTTGGAAATCTTTTTGGTAACGCCTGCTATGTATGGCAGTGTGATGATTTTGATCAGAGTATCAGGTGGTTCATCTTCTTTGGTTCTTTCGGTAAAGTCACGTAGAATGAGAATAAAATAATAAATTGATAAATTAAATAACACAATAATATTCTCACAACGTTTCGGCCACAACACAAGTGGCCTTCATCAGGTGAAGGGGACGAGACTGTCTGGAGGACAGCGCTCACTCCAGCTGCTAATGGGTATTCTTGAGAATAGTGGCCATTTCAGCTCTCGCAACGTCCGCTTGGATGTGTCCTATGCCTTTGAGGGCTACATCGACTTGAGAGATGATATCCTCTATTGGTATATGTTTAGGGGTGACAGCGAAATTTAGCCCTTTAGCCAGTACCGTTTCGGGTGTCTCAGAGCTCTTCACTTAATACAGATATTTTGCTGTGACTGTTCCACCTGAAGACGGAAGCTTGTGTTGCCTCCGAAACGTCGTGATTTAATTTAGTTCTTTTCATTTATTTTATTTTACCTACGTGACTTTACCGAAAAAAACAAAGAGTGTGAATCCTTGCAGTCACGAAAGCTTCAAATCTAGAATTAATTCTGGAAATTAATTTATGTATATTCAGATTAATATATAGTGATGACAGATAGGCCTATCAGTTCTATTTATTTAGGCTACCAATCGAAAGCATCTGGTTTTACGTCACAATTTGTTCTCACTTGGTCGGGCTGTGCAGGCATGGATGTGCTGCGGCAGGAGGCTTACACGGTGGAGGGGGTGCCCATCTTAGGTTTGTACCAGGCGAGCGGGGACGGTGCTGGTCGCATTGTGCTGTATGGCGACTCCAACTGCCTCGATGACAGCCACCGACAAAAGGGTAAGCCGGGCCAGGGTCTTGCCTGGTGTTGTTGCTGTCCAGTGCAAATGGGAAGAGAATTGCAAAGTTTGACGCTGTGATATCAGAACAACAACACTTCCTATTCATGTTAGTTTACTTTGTCTTTTCAGGTATGAGGGTGTGTTATTGACAGTGATGGTATTTTCCAACATGCACTTTTGCATGCATGCACTCTGTCAAAAATTTTAATCCTAAATCGAATCACAATCTTGAATCATGACAATTCATAAAATTATTAAACCTATTTTAAGTTTCATTCAAAGTTGGTTACGTATGATGCTGATTCTACTTTCAAGTGCTTCTTTTATACTGATCGGATCTCTCTTGGGGACTCCACAGACTGCTTCTGGATGCTGGATGCGTTGCTGCAGTACACGGCGTACGATGTCCTCTCGCCCGTGTTTTCGGAAGCGAATGCGCGTGGGGCCATCCAGCAGATCACTCACGAAGGCCCGCTGCCCACGCGCATGGAGGGTGAGGCTTCAGTCCACGGTTTCACTGTCGCAGAATGCCCGTATGGAATATTTCTTTGTATTTTTTTACACAGTGAAAGTCCGTATTATTATTTATCCTTCCTATTATACATGCTCCCAAACAGATCTCCGCACACTTCCTGTTACCTAGCCATCAAGTTTTTTTTTTAATAATCTGATGTTATGGTACGAATCGGAGGAGTCACACAAAAGTAGCAGTACATTAATTTTATGTGGGTCTTTGCAAGATAAGGGTCATTTGGTTATCTGAGCCTAAGCACAGAGTGACCCAGAAATGACAGCAAATTTTTACCAATGGTGTTTCTGCATGCTTTACTGCATGAATAAAAGGAGTAATTTGTATAGACAAATTTGTCCTCACATTAAATTGGATAAGAGGACATTAAGTTTAGTGACAAAAAAAAACTGTTAATATCGGATCATTTGGTAAAGTCAACAACAACATTGCAAAAAATCCAGAAAAACGCATGTCACATGTTATAAATTGATTTGCATTTTAATGAGGGAAATAAGTATTTGACCCCTCTGCAAAACATGACTTAGTACTTGGTGGCAAAACCCTTGTTGGCAATCACAGAGGTCAGACGTTTCTTGTAGTTGGCCACCAGGTTTGCACTCATCTCAGGAGGGATTTTGTCCCACTCCTCTCTGCAGATCTTCTTCAAGTCATTAAGGTTTCGAGGCTGACGTTTGGCAACTCGAACCTTCAGCTCCCTCCGCAGATTTTCTATGGGATTAAGGTCTGGAGACTGGCTAGGCCACTCCATGACCTTAATGTGCTTCTTCTTGAGCCACTCCTTTGTTGCCTTGGCCATGTGTTTTGGGTCATTGTCATGCTGGAATACCCATTAACGACCCATTTTCAATGCCCTGGCTGAGGGAAGGAGGTTCTCACCCAAGATTTGACGGTACATGGCCCCGTCCATCGTCCCTTTGATGCGGTGAAGTTGTCCTGTCCCCTTAGCAGAAAAACACCCCCAAAGCATAATGTTTCCACCTCCATGTTTGACGGTGGGGCTGGTGTTCTTGGGGTCATAGGCAGCATTCCTCCTCCTCCAAACACGGCGAGTTTAGTTGATGCCAAAGAGCTGCATTTTGGTCTCATCTGACCACAACACTTTCACCCAGTTGTCCTCTGAATCATTCAGATGTTTATTGGCAAACTTCAGACGGGCATGTATATGTGCTTTCTTGAGCAGGGGGATCTTGCGGGCACTGCAGGATTTCAGTGCTTCACGGCGTAGTGGGTTACCAATTGTTTTCTTGGTGACTCTGGTCCCAGCTGCCTTGAGATCATTTACAAGATCCTCCCGTGTAGTTCTGGGCTGATTCCTCACCGTTCTCATGATCATTGCAAGTCCACGAGGAGCCCCAGGCCGAGGGAGATTGACAGTTCTTTTGTGTTTCTTCCATTTGCGAATAATCGCACCAACTGTTGTCACCTTCTCACCAAGCTGCTTGGCAATGGTCTTGTAGCCCATTCCAGCCTTGTGTAGGTCTACAATCTTGTCCCGGACCTCCTTGGAGAGCTCTTTGGTCTTGGCCATGGTGGAGAGTTTGGAATCTGATTGATTGATTGATTGCTTCTGTGGACAGGTGTCTTTTATACAGGTAACAAGCTGAGATTAGGAGCACTCCCTTTAAGAGTGTGCTCCTAATCTCAGCTCGTTACCTGTATAAAAGACACCTGGGAGCCAGAAATGTTTCTGATCGAGAGGGGGTCAAATACTTTTTTCCCTCATTAAAAAGCAAATCAATTTATAACATTTTTGACATGCGTTTTTCTGGATTTTTTTGTTATTCTGTCGCTCACTGTTCAAATAAACCTACCATTAAAATTATAGACTGATAATTTCTTTGTCAGTAGGCAAACATACAAAATCAGCAGGGGATCAAATACTTTTTTCCCTCACTGTATATGTATATATGTTGAACTTCTTTCGCACCGTACGTAGCTAACCTTTCTGGGGGTGGGGCACCTATTGCCCGGAACTTAATTTCATATGCCCCATCTCCACTTGTTGTACCACTTCGAAGCATACTCTTTGGTTCTATTCGGTAAAGTCACGTAGGTAAAAAATAAAACAACAAAAATCACGACGTTTCGGCCACAACACAAGCGGCCTTCATCAGGTGAAGGGACCAGACTGTCTCGAAGACTGCGCTGGAGTGGCTTTATTTTTTTTTTTACCTACGTGACTTTACCGAATAGAACCAAAGAGTATGGATCCTTGCAGTCACGAAAGCTTCAAATCTAGAATCACTTCGAAGTAGTCTGCAAATGATATCCATCACTGCACACTAATCGGTTACTAGAGGAGTAGTAGCAACACTGCGATTCTAATTTTAGCACTGCAATCAGTCGCTTGTTACTTTTGCAGTGACTGAAACTACTGACGTATTTGTTTAAGTGAGGCCCACAAAAGGTATTTGAAAGTACTATTTGGCCGACAGGGTGGTAAAAACCCCCCACCGCTAACGTAGTGGCTCATTGGATCTGCACGAGTGGGACAGTGGGTAACATACTTACATACTACCTAAAGAATGGCTTATTAATTAAGTGACCTCCCTGTGCAGGAAACCACCTGTACCGTTACTCCAAGGTGTTGGAAGCTCACCTAGGGGATCCGAAGCCCCGACCCCTTCCTGCCTGCCCCCACCTGTCCTGGGCCAAGCCGCAGCCGCTGAACCAGACTGCACCCAGGTAAATGTCCATGCATAATTGGGCACTAAACATCTGATGAGACGTGTAAAGGTGCTGGCAAAATCCGTGAACATTAGCATACGTTGTGTTATGCATAAAAGAGTAATTTGATGCAATTGTATTCCATCGGTAATGATGTGTTGTTCATCGTGTTCTGTTTAAAACACGCTTTACCAGTCTTGTAATGTTTGCACATTGTCTTCAGATTTTTTAAGTCCAGATAGTTAATTGACCAAAATGTTACTTAATTTGCATATTGATGTGTTTTTTAATGCTTAGTTGTTGTATGCTCATATTTTTCTTTGTTTTCACGTTATATACGAATACATATGTGGCATGAATTGACTGCACTTCATCATCATGTACCAGTGGATCTGTACGCATAATTCGGTGTCATGTGCACGCACGTTGTATTGTCACGCCCCATTATTATTTCAGCAATCTGTGGAAGCAGCCAAAGCTTCTGGCTATGGACCCTGAGCCAATATCCTTTCCAAACCTGAGGCAGAACCGTCCCCAGGTGCGGCCTCTTTCACCCGGAGAGAGCAGTGCCTGGGACGTCCCTCAGGGTAAGGTGTTGCTGAATCAGCATAAAGTTGTGAGGTCCCTCATTACAGAAGTATGGGATTTGCTAGCGATGGAACTGAGAAATGCCAGTACTCTGAAGCAGACTGGTAGCGAATTGAAATCATCATATTCATTATGAGTCGATCGGTCACCCATTAACTACATTCCACGTGAGTTACAAGTCGAAAAGAGTAAGAGAATGATTGCTAGAGAATAAGGTTCAGTGGCTTTGATTATAGTTGGTGGTTTTTTGCTGGAGATTGGTGGAGCAAACATTGTTTGTTCTATAATCTTAGGTGTTGTATAACCTTGTTTCTAATTATTAGTTCTTTAAAAATGTTTTACCATTTATGATGCAGGAAGTTTCCTCTATATGTAAACAAATTGTTGTTATGGCATAGGTATCTATGAAATTACAGGAAAATCTACTTTTAATACATAAACCTTGAACAATATTGAGGATTATTGATATATGTTCGTGAATGTGTATGATGCTCTTAAATAGTTTATTTTATTTTAACTACCACAGCCTGACCCCCCTTCCTTTTCATCACTGGCAGGTATAATGCCGGGCCGGTATAACCAGGACGTGGGCCACACTATCCCCGTGTTCGCGTTCTTCGGCGCCACGGTGGTGCTCGCGTTCTTTGTTGTCAAAATCAGCAAGACGAAGAGTCGGCCAAAAAGGAAAAGGCCACTGCGTTTAAAACGGCTGCATCTCGCCGTCACCACCAAGCCCTCTGTTTGATGACGTGGGCAGTCAAAAAACATGGCTTTTGTTAACATTTAGCACCTCCATCCCAGTGTGCGTGTTTTACACCACTGGCAGTGTCAAAAGAAGCCCAGGACTTCTCCTGCACCGGTGGTTTTTTGATGCCACTGGTCACGCTTGGGATACCGAAGATGCTTTTCTGCGATCAGCTCATCACGCACAATTTAAGCGGGATGTGCAGGACTTGAGAGAGGTTTTTTTTGCGAGTTTGAGGGTTATTTTTTAACTGCGATTTCCCAAGAAACACCAACGTGGTGGATGATGCTGTGTGATTTTGAAGAGAAAATAGAAGGGAACCCCTATTTCCTTCCAAACGAGGTTTGAACTCTACAGTGATCCTCCACGAACTCTTGTGTTTACGCTCACAGACCAAACTAAATGTACAGTATATCAAGACGGATGCTAATTGGTAATTTTGCAGGAAGATAGTTATTGGTGAACAGCTTTTAATTTGTTCACTGAAATGTTGCATTTCTTCACATTCTTCACTACATTATTTTATTCCAATCTGAATTTTCAAAATTGTTTTGTCTTGGGGAAGGAGGGAAAAATATGAATGCCTAAAAGTTATGTCACGAAGAATGCGCACATACAAACACCTAAAAAAAATTGTCAATGTTTACTTTTAAATGTTGCACCTTATGTTTATCACCTGAATTCTCTCGAAGGTAATAATTATCGTACTAATTTGAATATAAACCATTTTTTCAAACTCATCCGGGACATTACTCAAATTACCTCTATTTATGCTGCTATGCCTGCAAGCTAAATAAAACATTTTGTTCAACTTTTGAGTTAGGAAACTTGTTTTGTGTTCACAAGATTTTATAAAGTAAAATATTAAAGTTTATTTCAGTTGAAAAAGTGCCAAATAGTGCATGCTTAATGAAATGTCGTGGAATAGCTCATGCTTGTTGATGCGTCAACAGAATTGCTCTGTGGATATTCTGGCTCAAAATCATAATAGTTGTCACATACGTTCTGTTAAGTTAATTTTACAAGCAATTTTTTTTTACATTCGTAAGTAGTAGGCTGGGCAAATTTAAATACATGTTTCAGCATTACATGGCACCAAATGGTGTTTAGCAGCTTGTGTTAAATGTTTATCGTTTGACACGACCAGTATGTGTGATTTTTTTTATATATATAAACCAATTTCTCTATTGCACCGTACATAGTATGAGTGACGTTACGTTTAAGATTCAATTTATTCAAGTTGCGTGGAGCAAAAATGAACAGCAAATGGGTTTTCTAAATGATGTGCTTTACCTCTGCAACACTTTTTGCAGAAAAATGCTCAAACTTTAAAAATGACGTTTAAAATGGAAAATCTAAATGGTTTGAAATATAATAAAAGTGGCACGTTTTTGCAAAGGTGGGACCGCTTTTGGCCCACTTTGCACAACATTATTTATTGCAGGTGTTAAGTGTTCACATCCGTTATTAGACACTTTTTTAACGTCTTTTTCTCCATGTTGTAAATTTTTAAATACGATTTTTGCTGTAATAGTTAAAAGTGAATGACCAGTGAAAATGTGGCCGGGCACTGAACTACTTACTCAAGGTTACAGAATGAATCTGGCTGCGTATAATGTATGTGCAGTCATGAAGATACCCATCACTGCCATTTGACTGTGCCTGCAATTTAATTCGAGCCAAATTAAACCAAAACAGCTGCCCGCACAAGGGCGTGATTCAATTGCTTTATATTGCACAACATAAAATATTTTCCTGAATTCCCCAATGACTCCAAATAACTCTTTTACAAATTCTTTTCAGACCTTAGAATTCAATTGGCTCTGAAAGTTAATTGTTTTAAGTGAAGCATCATCCCAACATGATGGATGTTTTAGCAATCATGTGTTCCACCTTGCATCAGGATGTGTACTGCTATCCCTGTCAACTAAAGTGATCATTATGTTCTATTTAAGTCATGTTGAAATTGCATTTCTTATGACTTTGTTAAAGCTGGAATTTCTGTGAGAAATGGCCACCATTTTATCCAGAATATGGTGAAAAATACCCATCAAGATAAAAAAAGATTACTTAAAGTGTCATTGCCACCATGTAACATCAGGGGGGAAGTATGGGGCCACTAATATGTTGACCAGACTGCTAAAAATCTGCAGAAGCAGTCAACTTTAATCAAAATGTGGCTCCGTATTGGAAAAATTACAGTGCAGTGAAACAGCTGCATAGCAATTAACTGGACTGCAATGTTCCCATAGCTCTAATATAGCTTAAAATGAACTTGCGCAGGGAGAGTAATTTTGCATGTTATGATGCTTGTGTAGACAATGATGTTGGTCCTGGACAAGTTTCATATTCATTTTATTGTGGCTTTTTTGGAGAAGGAATTGCCACTTGTGGCCGTACATTTTCTACACCTTTTTGTGGGTGTAAATTGTCAAATTCTTTGATAGAAATATTCTGGTTTAGTGTTTTTTCAACATTCCAAATTTTTTTGGTGCTCTGGACATGTGTGTAAAATTAGTGGGCAACTAATATGGTGTAATGAAGAATGAGGAGCATGTTTTGCACTGCCCAGCATTTGTTTAACTTTTATTTTCATCCTGTAACTTCTGTTGCAAAATGTACAGGTAAATAATTGTTTTCAGCCTTTCCTTTAAATAAACATGGTTTTGTAAAGTTTGAAATAAATCTATATGCTGCAAACAGAAATTTTAATGTGGATGTGTTGTGTTAATGTTCTACATATGAGTTTAGTACATTAACCCATTTTCATATTCATGTATGGTCTGCAACTCATGCATCCTTTTACATTCTTTACATTTCAAGAGGCGTTTAACTTCAAGGTCTACCCCTCTGGCTGCATCTCTCCTTGTATTGTCCTCTAGAGCAGGGGTGTCCAAACTACGGCCCGCGGGCCAACTGCGGCCCGCCATCCATTTTTAATTGGCCCGTATCAGTCTAAAAATATAATGGACTATGGCCCACTGTATTGCACTTCTTAGTTTAAAAACTAGGTGGCGCTATTGTCTTGAACAAGGCAGCGTCTCCACAAAGCAAGCAATCGAAGAAAAAATTTGCTCAGGGTCACCAGAAATGCCGGAACCGAAGAGACGCAAGATTGCAATCGAGTGCAGAAAATTTCAGCCTCGGTGGAAAAATGAATATTTTTTCATAGAAACCAAGGGGAAGTGTGTTTGTTTGATTTGTAATGAGAGTGTTGCCATGATGTGAAAGTACAATGCACGACGGCATTATGAAACGAAACAGAACTTCACGTCCTACACTGTCGCTGAGCGGAAAGATAAGGTAAAGCAAATGGCAGCTAGCCTGCTAACGTAGCAGCAGGTTTTTTTTCCGTGCTAACAAAGCTCAAGAAAATGCAACAATAGCCAGTTATGAAGTAGCTCAACTCATTGCCCTACACGGGAAACCTTTCTCAGACGGTGACTTCATCAAACAGTGCCTCACTAAAGTCGTGGGAATAATGTGCCCGGAGAAAATGCAGGATTTGAACGATGTTAGTATGTCTAGAAATACGGTTGTGCGGCGAATTGAAGACTTGTCGGCTAACTTAAAACAGCAAGTGCCAGATAAAGCTTGTGCTTTCGATTTTTACTCGATTGCATGCTATGAGAGCACAGATGCCATGGACACTGCACAGCCGTTCATTTTTTTGCGGGGAGTTGATAATTTTTTGCATTACGGAGGAACTGCTCGATCTTCGGAGTCTAAAGAGGACAACAACTGGGAAGGATATGTTTGAAGCTGTGTCAGATGCAATTGACCAGGCTGGACTTAAATGGGACAAGCTGTGTGGAATTACAACGGATGGGGCTCCAACAATGACAGGCGAGCGCAAAGGAATTGCCTCTATGGTGAGTGCCAAGGTGCGGGAGAGCGGAGGTGAGGCTGTCAAAATGCACTGCGTCATCCACCAAGAAGCCCTCTGTGCCAAGATAATCCAGCTTGGCGATGTGATGAACACAGTTGTGAAAACTGTCAACATAATTCGGGCATGCGGGCTTTACCACAGATAATTTTCAAGCGATGCTGAATACGGGGACCTACTCTACCATTCTGAAGTGCGCTGGCTCAGTCGCGGCTCCGTGCCGCAGCAGTTTTATTCCCAGAGATCAAATATCGACAAGTGTTTGAAAGAAAAGGGCAGACCTCTCCATGAGATCAGTGACCCTTTATGGTTGGCAGACCTGGCTTTTTTAGTTGATCTCACTGATAATCTCAACACCCTGAACAAGAGACTACAAGGCAAAGAGCAGCTGGTACCACAGCTGTATGCGCACATGAAAGCATTCCGTGCGAAGCTCCGTCTCTTCGAGTCACAACTGCGCAACTTCAATGTAGCGCACTTCCCCACGCTGACCGAGATCAAATGCGCATTTCCAAATGCCAAGCTCTCTGCAAAAATGGGAGAATGTGTGTCTGTGATCACATCTCTCATGACAGAATTCAGTCAGCGCTTCCAAGATTTTTCTGTCATTGAGAAGGAAATCACACTGTTTGCAGCTCCGTTTTCAATGGATGCAAAAGAAGTGGAGGAGAGTCTGCAATTAGAACTGATCGAAATTCAGTGTGATGATTCTCTGAAGAATCAGCATCAGCTTCTCTCTTTATCTGACTTCTACCGGAGCTTGGAAAAGGCCAAGTTTCCTCTGATGAGACGCCACGCAAAACGAATGATGAATCTGTTTGGCTCAACATACATCTGTGAGCAGACATTCTCTCTGTTAACGCTGAACAAAAACAGACGGAGAACCAGAATGACCGACAGCCATCTCCGTGACGTCCTTCGCATCTCAACCACCAAACTGACTCCTGACCTGTCAGCTATCCTTCAGACCAAAGCACAGCATCACTGCTCCCACTGAGCGCATCATTCTTCCCATTACAGGTGAGTTAAAAATGTACACGCAGTTTTCATTTGTTAATAAGCCCAATTACTTAATAAATTCAGTCAATTAAAGTTGATGACACTGTTTTAACAAACGTTAGTTGATGTGTTAACACGCCCAATAATTTATTTGTGTAATAAGCTTGAAATATACACATCCCCTATTTCTCTTCTTGTCTCTCCCTTCATACAGGACAATTAAGGGGGATCGGCACCCTAAGAACCAATCTGAGGTTGTCATTGAGAGAATGACCTGCCAACCTTTTTGTAAAAAATGAAAATCTACTAATGGAGAGCTATGATGGAGGCTTTTTTTCTTCAAACATGTTTAATTATCAAACGTTATTTACCTGCATTTGATTGATTTTGCCAATATTAGTGCATGAGAAGTGAGGCAGTATACCTCACGTCTAGTGAGTGGCCCAGTCTTTCGTATATTTGTCTGTATGTGGCCCTCGGGAAAAAAAGTTTGGACACCCCTGCTCTAGAGTGAATGACTTCATTTATAACCAACACAATCTCTGTTGAGAGCAAGAACAAGCTTCCTGGCCAATCATTAACACATTTGTGTTGACATCTATCGTATGACAGGACGGAGGAAAAGCAATGGCTTGAAATACGTGAGTTGAATTCTAAGTGTTTTCAACCAATCCAATGAGGCAATTGACGCTGTCTGGATCACAGCGACACCGCCAGAAAGTGCATAGATGGGGCATTAGTCGGTGATGTGTTTGGGCTTCACCCACAGTCGCAGCTAGGCGATTCTTTGAACTTCAAATTTTTGGAAGGTGGACGCGCGTCTCCCATGTTGCGTTTGAGCGCGGTGCTTCCACGGTCGGGTTCTCAATTAGGTGTTTCGTTTGCCACATCCATAGCCGCCCAAGATCCCGTCCAGCGAGTGCCAATTATTTTTATTTTTATTTTCGGCTGCTCAAGCGGAGGCGCGCATCCAGAAATGTTTATTCGATTCAGCCGATGGCGTGCGGCTGCTCTTAGGTCTTGTTGGAGCGGCAGAGCGATGTCCGTAATGTTTGGACTCCCGGGTCGTCGCAACGTCGGTGTCGGACGTTGGCTGGAGTGATGTTCGCGATCACAAGAAGCCACGGGGAGTGGAGTTGGACTTCAGGGTGCCGCTGATGATACGAAGTGCGGTTTTGATTTTGGTATCGACGAGGTTTTTGAGAACTGGCACTCCACACAAAATATAGATTAAATTGCTCTGGCCTCCCCTAGGTCTTCTCGTCCTTCAATGTTACAGTACCTGCTGCGGCTGCAATAAACATTGGGTGTTAAGGGCCACACTTCCTCAACAGGCATTTACATCACTCAATTGACATGTACCGGTACAGCCCTTTTGTGAATCCATTGCTGGATGAGGGCCTCCCCGCTCCGTGTGGGTCGTGGGGGTAATTTCACTATATCCTGTACTTCACGTTAGGTAGTGCGGGTTAGTGGTGGGAAGTATTCATGACAGTAATCTAGAAAGTAAAATGCAACAATAGATTTTGCTGCACTGCCCTCTGCTGCCCAACACGTAGGCTCACAGTTAAAAGCACACTGGGATTGAATCATTTACAAGGTACGCATGTTGCAGTTCTTTCGCACCGTACGTAGCCAAAGCTGCTCAGCGGAGGTGCGGGGGAAGGATAACAAACAAAACACAATGGAATATTCTAGCGAAATTAGTTTTAAATCTAGATTTAAAAGTGCAAAGCTGCAGTGGCTTCTTAATATAGGACGAAAGCATTCCAGAGGGCTACAGAAGCACATGATGCAGTGGCCGTCTTTGTTCAATAGTTAGCCAAAAACAATGATGATTATAATAATTTACACTTACAAAGTGCGTTTCACCCAGAGGTCGCAAGGCGCTACATAGAGCGAAAAGAACGTAAGCAAATAACTCGCGCAAATTTAAAGCACTAAAATTAATCAGGTGAAAATGCCTTTAAGAAAAATGTCTTCAGGCGTGCTGAGCAGATCGAATATTTGATGGCAGTGAATGCCACAGCTTGGGGGCAACACGGGAAAAGGCCCCCGGGTCACCCATTGAAGGAAGGTGCGACCTCGGCACACACAATAGCCCACACTCAGACGATCGAAGAACTCGCTTTGGGACATACGGGTGAAGGTCACGGATGCAAATGTAAAGTCACTTTAATAAACGGAGTATCTGTACCTGCATTAACAGTTTAGTTTCTGTCCTCTCTTGATAATCATCATCAGCCATGGTTGGTCCATTGCTGAAGGCAATGGACCAACCATGGCTGCACACAGTGACGGACTGGGACAAAAAAATCGGGCCAGGCATTTGTAAACACACCGGCCTAGATTTTCGTGTGATCTCATTGGGCCATTTGGGTCTGCAGAATATGGGATTTAATGGCAACTGAGAGTGTAAATAAGTAATTAAGCGTACACATTAGGAAGTAGTTAAAATATTTCATGAATAACAAAAAAACATACTTTTTTTCCTCTGATCACATTTGCAATATCCCCATACAGACAAACCCACCGGCCCTCTGAATGGACCGGCCCACCGCTCATTTGCCCGGACTGTTGCCCTATGGCTAGTCCGGGCCTGCCTGCACATGAGCAAATCTCATAGCTCCATCTCTACGGTGAATGTTTCCCCATGTCGTGTTCCCTCCTTCAGCTGCCACTCCATTACAGCGGGCCAACATTCTGTCCTGCCCATAACCCACTTACGTTTCTCAAGACTTAACAAATATCTGTTTGTTTTCTGATCAACGTGTTACCTCTCTGTGTAAATTCCCATTATGCAACTCTCCGTGATTATTTGTTTACAAACATCCTTTATTATCTACGTTGCAGATCCCTTGAAAACAATGAAAACCTATCCAGTGGTTTTCTTTGCCCGACAAAAAACATTCGTACCATACCCGTATACAGTATGTAACAAAACTAAAACGTTTTTTGCTGGGTGGCTGGCCACGCCGCGCGTTTCCGACTGGCTGGTCGGGGCTCGCTGGGGGTGCCGTGAAGGGGCCGTGGCGGCGACTGGGAGAATCATGAACATTATTGGCGGTACACCGGTGCGCGCTATATAATAATAATTAAAAAAAATTCGCAATAATTATGCAATTTAGATATTTTTTCCCCGCGATTCGCAACACCGGTCGGAAAGCAAATTATGCGGGGTGCGTCATAATCAGTTCTCGTGAACGCGACGCTTCGACAGCCTGTTTTGCCGAATATCAGCACCCAGCCTGAAGACGATTGGCTCCGTGTTTTGACTCGTGCCCGAGGCAGATTTGACTCGTGCCTTGGTCGGACGTTTCGGGATAGGTTAGGGTGAGAGAAATACGAGCACTGACCCTTTCATGAACACTTCTGACTACATTGGAAAACCCTGTCCTTGAGTAGCATTTGGTTGTTCACGACATATTTATATTTTGACCTCATTTAGTGTTTACAATAAACGACCTAAATTCTAAAAGCTCTACTTTCCGTACTTATCCATTGGCGGTTCAAGACGACGACGAAGATGATGCTCCAGTCGCACCTCAGACTCGTAAGGCAACGCAAGAAATCTGCTGCTGCTGTTGTTGTTGCTCCAGGTGCTCGCCCTCCTCTTGGTCGGCCCAAAAAGATCGCGTGCCTCGGAACCAAATCAACGGTCAAGATTGACTTTTTTTGCAAGTCTCAGAGACTGAATAAACCTTCGAACCACGTAAAACTTGGCGACAGGGTCAATTAAAGACTGATAAACAGATTTGCCGATTCGAATTCTGATTTCAGACTGTTTTATGAAGACTGGTGTGCATACCTGTCAACCCATACGATTTACCCGCATTCTTGTCCAGGGAAATAAAGTTTTCAGGTCCATACGGCGTACAGCCGTTTCAATGCGGGCAAAATGTTTGTTGTCTATTTGTTTGTGTTTCTCCCTTCTGAATGGACATTGAAGGATGAATTTTGAGATTTATAAGGGCACGGGGTGACCAATAAGTTCTGAATTGGTCTGTAATAAGGTAGGCACTGATAGGGGGTTGACAGGTATGGGTGTGTTATGTTGCACCGGCGTACCGGCAATACGTCCATATGCTGGAGGGGGCACCCAGGGGTGGGGAGGAGGGGACGTTTTGGGTGAGTGAAAACCGTCGTTCAACGACGGCTACTTTTCACTATATATTAAAACAAAGTTTGGCTGGCTGGTTGGAGGGAGGGAGGGAGAAATGGGCGGACAATCACCTCGCAGCCCGACGACGCGCATATGCATGGGAAGAGCACCGACGCAGCCGCCTCTCTCCATTGCCAGGTTGCAGATGCTGCCGAGCGGGCCACTTGCACGTGGGACAGCACGACAGCGTTGGCTGAAAATTAGTCTTGAGACTTGGTGGGGCATTCTTGGGTAGACAAAGAGGATGTCAAAGAAATATTGCTTGCACGTTATTTAATCGGCTGATTAATGTGGATTTGCTTTGGTTAGGCCCCAATGATAGCCAACCCAATTAAGTGTACAAGTGTTTACAGGTAAGTTGAAGAGATTTGTGAGCAACCTAATTTAGCAATTACGCAATCAATCATGTGGCCCAGCAGAAGTGCATTGGCTGCTTGTTGTAGACGTCCAAGGTTCAAAATCAGAATTTGATGAGCTATGAAGCCCTTTTTAACAGTAGGGGTGGGTCCGCAAGTTGCATAAATCAGGATGGCTGTCCTGGGTAATACTGCAGGTCTATTAATGTAAAATGCGCACCATCGGCTTCACAGTGGATATTAAGGATCCTGTGACGTTGTTCACAAGAGTGGGCAATTGTGTTCCAGCATCATCGTCCAATGTTGGCAAATTTTAAACATCACCTGAAAATTACTTAATTGAGATTAAACAATAGCAGCATTGGACTCTACCGCTAAATGAATGCGGACTGTCTGTGAAATACTGTAGAGTGTGCCTTCCTGGTAACCTTACGTTATAACGTCAGAGGTGCAGGGGAAAGACAACAAACTAAACACAAAAACAGAATAAGGTCACTGCATCACGGGAATCTAGATGCGCTTCTGCAGCCGCCTGGAATGCTCTTCCTTTCTATATTAAGAAGCCATTGGAGCGATGCACTATTAAATCTAAATTGAAAAATCGTTTCTTGGGAACTGCTTTTTGTGTTTAGTTTGTTGCCCATCCCCCGCACCTCCGGTTAGCACGGATGGCTACGTATGGTGGGAAATAAGTTAAACATAATCAGAATATTGATTTATACTGGAGGAATCCGATGAGCTATAAAGCTCTTTTCCACAGATGTCCAGCCGTAAATTATTACCGGGTGCAGTGAATTCTCCTTATCATAATATTTGATACTCTCTGGTTCTTTCGGTAAAGTCACGTAGATAGAAAAATAATAATAATAATTACGTGACTTTACCGAAAGAACCAGAGAGTATGGATTGCTGCAGTCACGAAAGCTTCAAATCAAGATAATATTTGATGTAAATAATTGTCTAGTATGAAATTGCCTGCCAAAAGAGAGGGTAATTGAAAATTATCGCCTTATCTATAAATACATCATCACACTCGGTGTGTTTTAATCCTTCAATAACTTCCCCGGAGGGCAGTGTGTCGCATACCACACGGGGCATTGCGTTGGGCCCTCTCGCCCAGTGTCTCCCCTTAATAGGAGTTCTCAGGCTGCGCGTGACGTGTAAGGGGGTTTGGGGGCTCGGTGACGTCATTTGCATCACGTGGCCTCCCGCCCCCCCCACCCCGCCGACGGTTAAGTTCTCGCGCAGTCGCGCATCGCGGCGGTTCAGGGGGAAATTTTTTTTGTTTTGTTTTTATTTTTATTTACTTAAAAAAATATATAAATATTATAAAAACTATTGGGGGGGGAAAAAAAAATTAAACTCGATAATTTATTTTTCTCTCCTCGTCGCTTCGTCCACAAGCCAAGGTAAATCGTGGAGGTTGTTTTTGTAATCGCCGACAGTGCCGCCTTACCCGACTAGGTCCGAGCAGAAGCCTCGGTCTTGACTAGTATGCCCGGCCGCCCTTCCTGGGGCTCAGCGCAGGCCTCGCACCTAGGCCAGTCACGGGAGCGCTAAAGCGGCCTTCCTCCGACTAGGCCTCGCTGCCCGAGTTTGCCACACTTTCTGTTCAACTCTTTCTCTCTTAAACACACAAAAAAAACAAAATTACAGGTACGACGACGTTACGGTCGTGTTATCGTTAAGTCGTTGCCGACGACAAGAACGACGCGGACCCGCGGCGACGGTGCTGCTGTGGGGACGCGTCCGACGGGCCCTCAATGATGCCGGGGGGGTGGGGGGGCGGTTAGACGGGAGCTTTAGAAACGAGCTCGCGTGCGGGTTGACGGCGTGGATTGTGGACACCGCAGGAGCACGAGAGACGGCTTTGGGGGTTGTTGTTTGGTGGCGATGGGCCTTCTTCGTGCAGCTGTGGAATCTCATCATCGTCGTCGGCCTGATGGTCGTGCTGTGCGCCTACGGGGTTGTTGGTGGTTGCCTGTGTTGTTGATGTTCTGTGCGCTGTGTGTGTGTGTGTGTGCGCGCGTGTGTGTGTGTTTTTTACGTTGACTCGTTATTTTGTTCGCTCGGCACCAAACAAAAGCCAACGAGAGGGGTTCACCCGAGAGACGCTCGCGGCGTCGGTGCTGTTGTTGCTTTGCTGATCGTGATGCTTTTCGTGATGATGTGGTTTTTTTTGTGTTTGACGCGATTGAGATGCTGGCGTTTGTGCCTTTTTGGAGCGATATTGATGAGGCGTTTGCAAAGATGATTGTGATATTGATGTTTTTTTTTTGTGAATGTGGTGATAGGCAGCAGTGTTGGCGTTTTTTTTTGTAAATATCTTAATGGTGTTGCTGTATTTGTTGTGTGGTAGGTTATTTTTTTAAAGATAGTGGTTGGTCATGTTGTCAACGCGGGGATGATGTTGGTATTTTTTTTTAGTCAACGGTGATGTTGCTTAGTAGTGATGCGGATGTGTTTTAAGGTGATTGTGATTCATGTTATTGTAACAGCGGTGAAGGTGATGCTTGATAGTTATTGTTGATTTAATGTCGAGAATGCTTCTTTGTAAGCATGATAAATAAGGGTTTTGTTCATTATTGTGTTGATATTTGTTTGTGAACGAGATGGTGGCATTGTTGTAATAATTGCCCTTGTTTTTTTATAATTACACTTAAAGTTATTTTATAGCGATGCTTGTGCTCCACGCGTTTCAGCTCATCGGTGGATTCGTGTTCTCATGAATGCCGCGACTGCTAAGATTAAATGGAAAATGTTGTTTACAGCACTGTACTTGGTATTGGGCGAGTGGGGGCGTCATAGGCTGGACGAGCCATTCAAATCCTTGCTTATACACCAATGTTATTGTGCATAATAACGGTAATGCAACCTGCAGGTTAATTAACCACCGGGTGGACTTTATCCTCACATTAATGGTGTAAGTCCATGACCGAAAGTTGTGGACTTATTACTTCATCCGTCTCGTGCATTAGGCTATACATGTAGCACAACGATGCATGCGACATGTCCGTTGGCATTGATGAAATTAATTGTAATATTTCCTTATGTACTGTAGAATCACAATGGTGTGTGGTGGCTGTTTTGTTCTCTGCGTCAATCGTATTGATACTCGTCTGTAAGAGTAGAGGTTTATTCTGTTCGACAGAGAATGTATATTTCTGCAAGTACAGCATTATACAAAATATAGTGAAAATACTTTGGCCTCTATAATCTACAGCACATGCATATGTGGGGATATAGACTGTAAATTCAATCATCTATACAAACCTAATTATTAATGGTATTGTTTGTGGTCAGTTTCAGCTCACTCATTAAAATTGCACATCACTCTGCGTGCAAATGGCCAACACAGTAATTGTGTTTTTATTATGTTCTACTGTAGTGATACAATTTGAATTAGTTACTTTGGTAAATACATAAACATTTGTGAAATCGTACTAATTGAACATAAAGTTAAAATTATCTTTAAATGTTTTGCAGGGTAATCACGTATTCATGTAACCATAGCATTGCCCATTTTTCACGGTAAATAATTATAAGATAAATTAACAAAGGTATTAATGTTTCCCCCAGTGCATTATTTTGGTGCAACTTAAACATGTACGGAAGAAATTTCAATTTGTTCCTGGCTGAATATTTCTTTTATCTAAATTAAATGTTATTTCGACAATAAATATGTTATGAGGTGCAGATACTTTTCAGCACACATTAATCATGATACTGTCTAATTATATTAATCATAATTAAATTATTTATCTGAGTGGCGTATCTTCGTTGGCCGAGTGAGCATACAAAAAGTAGCATCAAACCAGGAATTTTACAGACGAACCAGAATTCATTTCCATTAAATGTTTCATGATAAAATGAATGTGAAAGTGAATACAATTTGGCCCAAAAGTGAGATCCACGATGTATACAGTTTCAGATGTATAAAATAAGCACATTAGGTATGCATTAAGCTTCACTTTAATCATCATTAGACCTCCTTTGCCAGTACCAAAATGTAAAAAAAAGGTTTCAGGTTTGTTGCCAGAAAAAAGGGTAAAAACCCTATTATTACTTCACTTTAATGTTACTGTCAGCCATTCCCAGTTTTTGTATGAGCAGTGAGCTTAGGCTTTTCCATAATGCAGTTTAATAATAATGATTGTAACTAACAGTTCATTGCTAAACCATTGCAGTTTGAAAGCATTCCTATGCCATGTCAATCATGGCGGTTGTTTTACCATGCCTTCAATTTGGCAGTGACTTGAGAAAGGGTGGTCTTGGCCTTGCATTACTGTCAATGTCAATCGGTAACTGTCCATGGGAAAAACAAGGATACATTTTCATTTATTCTTGAGAAATTTGAGCAGTGTTGGAAGACGTGCCATTGGGTTTTTACTTTTTTATGTTGAACATTAACTGATGCCGAAAGTTATTTTTTTTCATGTTATGCACATGCTGAGCGAGGTAAATGGTTGCAGGTGTTGATCCCTAACCTTATCCCAAATTTATTTGACAGGATATAATGTAATAATAAGATTTCAATATAGTTATATCAAACTGCTATTTGCCTGCTTGGAAAAGTCACGCATCTGTCTCCTACAGTTATATTCACGCTGTCTCTTGGTGTAATAAAACCCATACATGCTTTGGAAAGTTGGGGTGGAAGGTTGGATTTCACTTGCCCACAAATATATTTTTAATGACGACTCATTAGGGCTGTCCCGATAATGGCCCCCCTGTTTGCATTTCAAAACAGACTTATGCCAAAAGCTTGTTTACAAATATCCACATTCGCAATGGCCCAGCAGCAACTGTAAGAATTGTATAAATGATGCTTCCCTTTATTTATGAGAATTGCTTGTGTGCCCAGTTATGTGCACTACAAAACTTTTTTACTTTTTGTCTTTGTGGGCCATACATTTCAGGTGACAAGCGTTTGAATGTCAAGCAGATTATGGGGAGCAAAAGCCATTTGAGTTTTGGAATGTTGTTTATAATACATTAAGCACACAGCCAGTGCAGTGTTGTGGCTTAGAACCTTTTTGGGATAATCATGCGACATTGTGTCGCGTATTCTTCTGGAAATTACTGTGGTTTATATACTGTATATATAAATTACATGTTTTCATTGTATCCGTACAAGTTACTGTATGGGAAACCAGGGTGCAAGTATTGTGGTTAAAGTCCACAGATTTATGTAAATCTTCAGTGTCCGTTGATTGCAATCATTGAGTACAAAACAAGCTATAAATGTATCCTCTTAACACTGCCCTGTGCTGTCCTTAATTCTCCTCTGTTTCCCAGCAGACATGAGTCGCCAGACAGGAGCGGCGCTGCCCAACGGGGCATCGAAAACAACGCCGGCGCAGCGCGTGCCGGCACTCACGGGCACCACGGCCTCGAACAACGACCTGGCCAGCCTCTTCGAGTGCCCCGTGTGCTTCGACTACGTGCTGCCTCCCATCCTGCAGTGCCAGAGCGGCCACCTGGTGTGCAGCGCGTGCCGGCCAAAGCTGTCGTGCTGCCCCACGTGCAGGGGCCCGCTCGGCAGCATCCGCAACCTGGCAATGGAGAAGGTGGCCGCATCGGTTCTCTTCCCGTGCAAGTATGCGTCGTCGGGCTGCGAGGTGACGCTGCCGCACACGGAGAAACCAGACCACGAGGAGCTGTGCGAGTTCCGGCCGTACTCATGCCCATGCCCCGGCGCCTCCTGCAAGTGGCAGGGCTCCTTGGAGACCGTCATGCCCCACCTCCTCCACCAGCACAAGTCCATCACCACGCTGCAGGTGAAACTGGAACATCGGTGGTGCTCTGCCGCAAGAATTTGTAACAAATCAACGGCTCCACCGGCAGTTTGAATTGTTAGAAATTGGTGGTTGAGATTGCATTTTTATATTTATTTTTTGCTTCTAAATTTATCATCTAATTTGTTTTTATCATTTGTTTCATATTTTTTTTTACAATACATTTTCACTATTAGCTTAATTTTAATTATAGACGGTGGAGCAGTGGCGAAGCGGTTGGCGCTCCGCTCTATGAACCCCGGCGACCTCCGTTTGATTCCTGGCCGTGGCTAATGTCAGTGGCAAGTAATATCTGAACCTTTGACCTCTGTGCCAACCCGCATCATCGTGAAGTAGGTCAAACAATTCCCATGACTGGTGAATCATAAGGAGACCATCTAGCATTGGATAGACAAAGGGCTGTATTTTGATAGCTGAAATGTAACGTTTGCATATCAATTGTATAAAATCAGCACAATATACTAATAATTGAGTCTTACATGTACAATTTAATGTATGGATGGAGGATATAAGGATTGATTGAAATATATATGAATGCATGTTTCCATATAAAGTCTAATAGTTATGGCTGTGGAGTCGTAATGATGAATGATTAATTACATCTTCACAGCTCTTAATTGGTCCTCATCATTTTGAAAGCATTCTGCAAATCAAGAAGCGTTGCTGTTTGAGCTTAATTTGCAAATTTGCTGGTGATGTTAAAGTGCTTACTACGCCACGTTTAGAAAGATGAGCACATCGTTAACATTAACTGAGATGGCACATTGGGTATTGCACCAGCAAAAATAAACAAAAGCTTTTCATGTTCACCATTGCAAAATATATGTATGTAATTTGGTTACATTTGTGCGGTAGAGAACGGAAAGACTGACTGTCATATAGAATTTGCATAATTGGTTAACCTTTTGAGTATTGATTTGATTAAAGGAAAAACATTCGTGCAATATACATATCATTTGCAGATATAAACAATGTCCCCCGTGAGGTACAAAGGAATATTGCACTAATAACTTTTGAGCCAAAATTACAATAATACTCTAATACCAACAAAGACTAGCACAATTTCACTAACGATAGAACAGTAACACCTAACTATAATTCTCACTTGAACAATGACTAAAGCATTGATACAACTCTATCACAATATTGTGACATTAACTAACATGAGTTGACCACTGCAAAAATACACTTATGCTTACAAAAAATATTACATGACACCGTATTAAATTCTGAAATATACAGGACTAACTCATTAATTGCACAAATAAAGTCTTAACACTGCAACAACAATTTCCATTATGATACAACTGTTACAACTACAAGGGCACTTATGCAATAATATTATTACATCTATGGGACCTTTTTGTCAGGAGCAAATGATGAAACAAAGAATAGGTGTTATCCTTTCTGGCCAGTGGGACACGTCAATTATTGTCAGAGAGCGTAAAGCCTTATTTTCATACTATTCCTCCAATAGCAAAAAAATGCTTTTAAAGTACAATACCAACACGTTGCTCTTAACCGTAACAAAACATGTGCAAAAAACAACAATAACACTACCAGATGCCTATTAACGATAGGCCGAATACCAATTCAACAATATTAAGTGATAAGCCTAAAAAAACCTGCACTAATAATAATACAGTGTAATAAAACTACAGTTACCATTCGTATAACCTTGCCACGACAAACTCTGTAATAGCATGATAATAATCCTCTACCCTTGCACAAGCTATTACACTACTATTGCAATTATAGCAGGCTAATACTGTAAGGACAACCATGTAACTTCCACACACACGATACATAAACAATACAGCATTACAGATACTTGGCGTGTTGGAGTCGCGATTTGAGAAATTGATGGCGTTTTATGCTTAAGTTTATTTAATTGAACCAGGTAAGAGCTCAAGACCACGATAGGAGTCTCATTTGCAAGAGTAACCTGGGTCACGAAAATTACAAGAAAAATAAATATCATAAAGGTCAGCAAAAAGCAAATAGAAATCAGAACAAAAATTCTACCATGGAAAATTTAACATACTACACAAACGCAAATATTACATTCCCTGTCACACATAGGCTGATTGGGCAGATTGTCTTTCGGCAGATCACAGTACAATTACAAAAATTAAGTCGCAGAAAGATGTAACAGGCATAGGGTGACTATAGTACACATGTAAATAGACAAGCATGTATGTGACATGCAATTACAACTAAAGTTGGCAAAGAATCGACAGTTTAGCATCAACACGTGAATTGGATGGGAGAGCATCCCATGGATATTTTTGAAGCGATGTAAATTCTAGGTGTGTGTGGGCATGACTAGATAATGAGGTTAAGATGGTGCGTGAGGCTGGTTTTAACCTACGTGTAACAGCACCAAACTTGGGGATCCAGTTTGGTTCAGATTTATTGTAATTTTCAGCATTTCTCGTCATAACGGTGTCATTCTGGACATGAGGTTCCTCAATTTTGGGGACCAGGCGCCATGAGTCTGATAATGATGTGGTTGCCAATTAAAATACAAAAAAATTAAACAAATCAATTTAATGGACTCATAGTTTTTGCACAACTTTACTTGGTGGTACACTGAAAAATGAACAAAACGAGGATGTAACCAATATTTAATTGGTAAATTGGCCTTTACACTTAAAATGGCAGCAGATATTCTGGTGTTGTTTCCAGCAGATTACTGGGCTTGAGAAATGCGAGTACGGGTGCGATGTTGGCAGGTGCGCGTGTTCGCCCCCTGAGAACGATTGTTTAAGGGCGCTTTATAAATTTAAGTTATTGTTGGTGCTCGGCAGGGCGAAGATATCGTCTTCCTGGCGACAGACATCAACCTACCCGGTGCCGTCGACTGGGTGATGATGCAGTCCTGCTTCGGTTTCCACTTCATGCTGGTGCTGGAGAAGCAAGAGAAGTACGATGGGCACCAGCAGTTCTTCGCCATTGTGCAACTCATCGGGACGCGCAAGCAGGCAGAGGGCTTCGCCTACCGCCTGGAGCTTAATGGGCACCGGCGCCGCCTTACCTGGGAGGCAACGCCACGCTCCATCCATGAAGGCATCGCCACAGCCATCATGAATAGCGACTGTCTGGTGTTTGACACAAGCATTGCACAGCTCTTTGCCGAGAATGGCAACCTTGGCATTAATGTCACCATCTCCATGTGCTGAGGTGCTTTTAGCCGTGCCCAGGGAGCAGTGCGACTGTGTGCTGTGCGTGCATTGCACTTGCAAAGAGACTGAACATGGTTGCCACCATCGTCCTATGAACCTAAGGCAGTTTGGAGTGCGCTTGTCACCGCCCCTCTGTGTGTGTGTGTGTGCGCACGCACGTGTGTGACTTGTGTGGAGTCTCTTGGCCCTTCTTGTCTTGAAGTTTCCATGTTCTGTATTGTTCTCGCGGATGTCGAGCCCACGGCACGTGCCCATTTCCTTCAAGGACCTCGCTCATCCCCACACTGAGTGGTCACTTTGTTGCAATCTTGAAACCAGCACGTATTGGATTGTGTCCTCGTTCACTTGCCCTGAGAGCCGGACACGTCAAGTTTGCATCTTCATTCTTTTCTGGATCCTAAATTGGGGTGCACCCTGAGTATGTTCAGCCAATGCCATCCTGAAGTACTGGGAATGTGCACACAATATAAACAGTGCCATCTTTACACATCTGGACGACCAAACGCAGGTGTGGCAGCCCAATGATGTGGCCAAGATGATGTGTGCAAATGAAAGGGAACTATAAAGATGTGCATTTCCATCTGCATGCGTGGAAGAGAGCTTTTGTTGGCTTACATTGGAGTTATCCAGTTCCCAATGAATGGCCACGCGGTGATCCTAAAATGGCCAAGTCATTGGACATTCCCTGTCTGCGCATTATCATTTACACGTTATGTGCATGTTCACATTGTGATCATTACACCTGACGGCATGACTGGTATGTTTAAAGTGTTTTTGACTGCTTCAAGACATTAAGTATGTAACCCGCCTACACTCTGCGTTATTATTGAGTCTGTATTGTACTCATTTATAATCTGTACACCAATGTTACACTTTGAAGCAGTGGTTGGCCTCTCTCTCTTTCCCAGTGTTAAGTGAGTTTACTGAGCATTCCCAGTGTAAATCCCTGCGCAGAACTCAAAATGGAATACATTAAGACAGTTTTATAAATTCTCACAATAAGCTGCCATTCGGTTCTCTTTTGTTTCGTCTGTTTAATGTAGCGTGACAATGCTTTCAAAGGTCGGTTGGTGTCTTGGGATCCGTTTGGGAGAGGACACAAATGAGGATGGAGATGCATCAATGAGAACTTGCTTGCCTCTGCTCTAAGCATGTAATAAGGCAGACCAGCAGTGTTGTTTTATTGAAAGAGTTGTGGTGGCGTATGACAGAAACTGCACTCTGTAAATATGTCTAAAGAGTGTGGGTCTTACACTACAAGTACCGGAAGCATTCATTTGACTGTTCTATTTGGTATTTATCTTGAAGTAATAGTTTTGATAAAACTGACCTATATGAGAGAAGAAAAAAAACACCCATTAAAGAAACACATTTGTTAGGTTTATTTTTCTTTTTTTTACTTTTTTCCCCACTTTGGTTTTGTGAGCAATAGAATGCATGTTATGACCACATTCATTACCCATTAAATGTGTAATATGTACTACATGTCTGTGTCACACAAAGTACTGTCCTTAATGGCCTTGTTAATACACTTTTTATTTTTATAAATAATTACAGTTAGAGTAGAGACTGTCCCTGTTTGAGGTATACCCGTATTTAATATTTTAAAGGTGTTTTGCTGAGTTGCATACATTTCTTGATTTCATTGAAAGGTAGCACAGATATTTGGTAAACGACGTAATGCACATCAAAATGAACACATTTTCTGGTTTGCAAAACTGGTCTTTTGAGTGGTGGTGCAGGGAAATTGCAGTGGGTACACATGTCATTCTTGGGGCTTGACATACTTTAAACCAGATTTGCATTTTCATTGTTGTTGTCCATGTTCAACCTCTGTTTCCATACACAAAGGTAATTGGTGGAACAAAAAAATCATGAGGAATAGGCAGGATTGCGCAGCACTCATGCAAGCAAATACATATTTTATTTGCTGATAGCCTGCTCCTTTTGATGTTTTCATGTTTTTGCATTGAATTCTGAACAACTTTGGCAGGAATATTAACCATGTTATGTGAATGACAACAGCCTTTTGTGCAGTTGCAGATTGGCCAAAGATTGGCTATTGATGCTGTGTAGCAGCTGCTTTCTGGTGGCTGAAGGCACTTTTGACAGGCCACCATTGTTATGCATGCTCATAAGTCAAAACCTACACATGACTAGTGTCATCATCAACATGTTTCTGCTGCTGTGTTCCCATAATGGTGCCTCAAAAGGTGTAAATGCAAGGTTATCCTGCATTAGCTATTGACAGCAATATAGTAATGAAGTGAATTTCAGTTGACATTTGGGCTCTTGCTTGCATTGTCTTTGATCCCCAAAGCACGTGGGCACAACGCGTTCCTGTCAAAGCACTATTTTAGGCCAAGCCCTATTTACAGCTCTGAGGAGGAGCAAGATGGTCAGGATGCTGACTCGTGTTTGTCAATGTCGTAAAGTTGCGACATGTTCACGTCACCTGGTATTGCAAATTACATCAAGATGTGTGTCCTTGAGAGTGCATCTTTAGTTTGTGAGAGCAAAGGGAGTTGATGTTTGAGGTGCTGTCGGTGTTGGGATTGTCCAAACAAAATGGATGACGATGTTAAACAGTCACAAGTTAATTTTAGATATGCATATGCAGCCAACTCACATGAGCATCAGCATTGTTAGACACGATGACGTGTAAGGTGTGACCTGTGTCATTGCGTGCCATTTCTCACCGTTTCCATTTAGATTTACATTTGATACTCATCACTAATGGTGACTGTGTGGCATGGCAGTGTAAGTTTTACGGAGTTGCCGCTGCAATGTCTATTTCCCGTGTATTGTGAGGGGGCAGTGTTAGAAAGCATGACAGTCATTTCCTCGTTTTCACGCCACAATTTGTTGTTCCCAGAGGACCCATTCACAGCCGATGTGCACTGATGTTGAACCATACTTGAGCACTTCCACCCTGTCCCCAACTTAGAGGTGTACCTCACCGTCATACTACAGTATATCAACTACACAATGAAAGAAGTTGCGTAGTTTATTCCAGGTTGCACTGTTTAAATTGTGCTTTTGATACATTGGGTCGTGTGGTATTGACCATTGCCACTGCCTCGCTGTAACACATTTGCCCTCCAGGCTGGCAAACATACACATGCTGGCAATCATTTTATTGAAATTCAGTTCGGTGGCGCTGTAATATCCAGAATTCATAGTTGCTTTGTCAGTCGTTACTAATCCTTTGCAACGATTAAAGAAGCGAAAGTTGTTGAAAGAGAATGGTTTCGATGGAGCCTGTGATACACTATGAATACTCTCAACGATATTGTTGGTCAACAGGAACTGATTACTTTTGGTTTATTGCTGATTTATTGTATAGACACCTATCATTGTTTTCCGCTGGGCAAGCATTGCATATTGTTGAACGTAATGAACAGCTTTTCAAACAATATCACAGGCTATTTTTGCAGCGTGTTCAAAGGCTAGGCGGTTCACAACTGATGTAAACATTTCCCAGCATGGTATATTTGTTCATGCAAACTTTAGAAGGGTATTTTAGTTTTGAGCAGAGCGAGTCTGGGCTTGGAAGTGGGCACCTCTATCGAATCGAAGCATGGTGGAACACAGTAAAAACAGATAAGAAGCAGTGGGAAAGGGAAGCTGATTCATTGACTTACCATGAGTAGCTAGCTGTAACAGTGGTTATGTGGTCTTGCTATTGGTGTGTTTCTCGAGGGCACGTTTAAAATAAATTACCTCTAAATTTTAATTTGGAATTGAGTCCCGTTTAAAGAAATGATTGCAATGTTAAAACGAGGATGTACGAGTTGGGTTCAAATGTTTGGGGACAACTGTAGTAGTTATTGGTTTTACAAAGACTGCAGGAAGTGATGTCCTCTTTGATGACAGCTGAGTGCTTTATTAACTGAGCAGTGCCCTTATTGTAAGCTTTTAACAAGCAAGCATATTTAGTGCATTAACAGTTATGATTGTAAGCACAGTATTACAGGTAATGCTGCAGTTACCTTTTAAGGGTTTAGTAGTTGAAATGACCTTTCCCATACTTAATTAAAGGCTTATTTAAATGTCATTTATTATTTCAATTTACTTAAGCCTAAAGGAATTTCCGGGGGTAAATATTGCAGAATTTGGATGAATGGGCCATGTTTTTTTATGAAACGGCTGGTGTGCCGTCATGATGTCATTGCTCACAAAAGATCCCATTGAATGTCCCCAATCATATTTTCGGTCTTTCACTCTCTTTGCACCCCTCCGTTCATCTATTAAAGCTGTCCTTGTCTCTATTACCCATTCTTTCCTTCCACTCCTTCCCGTCCCTCCCCTCTCGTGATCCCTAAGTACCCCTCAATCTCTGTCACTCCTTCCTCAGCCCTTTCACACCTCTGCCATCGAAATAATTCAATTCTGTTATCGTTTTTTAAGCTACGTTAATTTGAAATGTAAAATTTGATTAGGAAGCAGGTGAAGAAATGTGGAAAAATGTACATTATAGCATGGCGTGGGGACAACCAGGCAATTGGTTTTAGGTCATGGAGAAAAGTGTTTATTTCAACCTGTTGGACGATGGTGTTTCTACCTGCTTAAAAACAGATACATATATACAGAAAAAAAATAACAGAATTTTTATCATTTAAATGGTGTGAAAGTTAAGTAATAAAATTAATACAAAAATTTTACAAACATTTTAAATGGCATTGCATTTGGTTTGGCACGGTTAGGTTATTGCTGAGCGATGGCTGTTCTTGGGCAGTGAATGAACACATGCACAGGCATGTATGTGGCTAGCAGTATCCATTTCAGGAGTGAAGCCGGCTCCGTTGTATTTGCTTATTTCACAGAAAAAAAAGCATTGGCCACTGACAAGTTTCTGGTCCTTTATTCAGGCTGTCATCCACATTACCTTGCACTAAGGGGAAGTTTCCCAGCAGCAATTCGTTTCTCCTGAACATTTACCTATTTAACGGCACTTCTACAAAGAACGTCCCTAGCATCCAAGTAAGGGACACCAGGGCCATGGCCAGTTTCAGGGGATGCTTTGGCATTTATGGAAATGCAAGGGATGCGGCACCAAACTAAGCCATCATGAACACGTTAAAATATTGTGATTTGATGTCGTACACTTGAAAATGTATGTACTTGGACGAATGCTGTCAATCACTTACCACACTCATTTTCCTCCAATTATATAAGTTCATAAGGTGGACAGGTGCTTCCGAATACTATCAAATCTCCATGGGTATCTGCAACAAATGTGGTGTCCGTGTCCAATGCCACTCATTTTTTTTTAAACCATTCTGAATGTTGGTTTTTTTAAAGAGTTACCTTACTGTGTGTTGGTTGTGCCTGTCGTTGAGGTCAGACCGTTAATAAATTCTAAACTGCATTCTTTATTGCATAATTGTGACTTGACTGGCTTGGTCAAGCAGCTTCTTGCTACTTTGTGTCACGCATGCCTTTCCAAGCCAGATGTGCCTAAGAGGTGTTGTGCGATTGAAATAAATCACGAACCTGTCACTCTTCCACCTTGATAACCCTAAGATGAGAAACACTGGATCGCTATCAAAAAGTAAATCAAAATGACATTACTTTGGTTACTTTTTGGGATGCACAGTATTGTCAGTGTTATTTTTTTCTGACGTGCATTTCATGCCTCGGTGTTCATTCCTCTTATGCTGAGAGTTGTTATGGAGGCCTTGTAACCCTGCCTCGCCAGTCTGGATGTATACTCTTTGGTTATTTCGGTAAAGTCACGTAGGTAGAAAAATAAAATAAAAAAAATCTATCACGACGTTTCGATCGCAACACAAGTGGTCCTCAGGTGGAAAAAAATAATCCAGCAGTGGAACTTCTTCCTGGTTCAGCAGTTCCACTGCTCGATTTTTTTTCCTTGTTCCGCCTGAGGACGACCGCTTGCGTTGCGATCAAAACGTCGTGATATTTTTTTCTTTTCTTTTTCTACCTACGTGACTTTACCGAAAGAACCAAAGAGTAGGGATTCCTGCAGTCACGAAAGCTTCAAATCAAGCCTGGATGTATCTTATTGTAAAAATCAAATGCTGATATGGACCAGCATCACTATCACCACCCATAACAAGAGGTATATTTTGTTGACGATTCTAAAGCCAGTAATGCCAAGGACCAGAAATCTTGAGCTTAACAGCATAAGGGCATATGGAGGTGGCTCTCTTTGCGTTAAGCATGAGCTTGCTGCTGACAGTGTTTACTTTAAATGGTGACGTAAGTAACATTCACCCGGTATGCATTTTGTTGGGGGGTGGTGGAACCTTTTTCCAAGTGGGTGGGAAGCCCTTGATGTTGACGGGAAGATGACAGTACAGCAGTGTACTTTGCCCTTAGCACAGTGTGCCATGACAATGTTGGTACACTTGAGCTGTATGAAACTGCAGATTACTAGATAGCAGGCACGTTCACTATGAATTCCTTTCCACCCTGTTGTACCAATTGCATTGCCTCTATTCTACACACCGTATAACGAAACAATGTTACCCCTCCATGTCCATATGTGCATTACTCTGTAGTGGGGAGCGATAGTGTAGCGGTTAGCGCGCTGCGCTATGAACCTGGCGACCCGGGTTCGATTCCCGCTCACGGCCAACACCAGTGACGATTATCTGAACCGGTCCTGGGCCTCCCCTAGGTCGACTCAGCCTCAAATGAGTACCTGGTGCGGTGTGTAAAAATTGCCACTAGGGAGACAGGTGGTCGGGCGCGGTGCTGGCCACCCACCCCCTCGTGTACCGTTCCGGCCTTCATAGGTGCTCGCTAACAGCACTTGCCCCTACAGTCTGTTAAGGCTATATGGGGGATCTTTGATTACTGTGTACGATGCACATTAATGGTATTAACATAAACATTAATCTTGAATAAACACAAGATCCAGGTCCGATTCAACACATTACATAAAATCCGTGATCTGGTTCCATCTGTAAAAGATGTGATTCCGGACATACAGTACCCTGGCGTCTACAAACTAAGTTGCCTCTGTGGTAGTAGTTACATTGGAGAAATCAAACGACATGTCTCGGACCGCATTCGTGAACACAAAGCAGACCTAAGTCACGGTAGGACCAACACCTCGGCCGTGGCAGAACCACTTATAATTCAGTAGGCTCACATGACATTGACTTCTCCAAGACAAGTTATTTAGAAGCCATCTGGCTACCATGAGAGATTCGTTCATGAGGCTATCCACATATACAAACAGACAATTTCAACCGAGAAGATGGATTCTGGCCTAGCAATCATTGGAAGGATTTGATAAACCATTTCGGGTCTTAATTGATTGTTCACGGGTGGCTTTCAGACTGCATCCATTATTTTCGTCTCCCCCCTCCTCTTTTCCGAACAGATGGACTCGTCCATCTGAATAACTGCCAAATCGCTCTCCGTGGTGCTAACGTTAAAAAAACCCGCCACTTTTTTCAAATTTTCTTGCTGTGGTTTTCACACCTGATGATTGCTTGTGTTGCAGTCGAAACGTCGTGAGAATTTTATTGTTTTATATTTTTATTATTTTGTTTCCCTTCGTGACTTTTCCGAAAGAACCAAGAATATAAACATAGTTGTTTATAAGCAGAGTGAACAGTCGAGGCAATGCAAGTTAGGTTTAAAATGTCATTTTGCATTACACTGCACAGGTGGATGTGCAATTGCTCATTGGAAATCGTGGTACATAGATACAATGTTTAACAGAACCATTATTGCTAGGTTATTTGTCCATGGAAGAATGATCATAGTTTATATTGTCACATGAAAACTGTCATCTGGTGAGTCAGCTCAATATGTAAAATCCATGTTGTATTTTATTAAGTCAAGTTGTCATTTTGCTGTTCCATTAAGTAATTTAACAAAAATATACTGTCTTACTTGAATATAATTCTAATGCCAACGTTCCAAAGTGTACTGCGAGTATGAAATGTGTTTTTTTTTTCTCGTGGCTCTGGGGGTGTGACCTGTCCTCCACCTTTTTCCTCACAGCCGCATAATGCGTGCAAGCTGGGGCGTGACAAGTGTGGAATGTCAACTGCTGGTGCGCAATAATCTGACGATGCACATGTAGGTGGGATATGCAAGCAAATGTCACGTTGCCCGTAGGAGTTACACAGAAGAGAGAACAGGTTAAGCAGCACCACCAACATTTTCAAATATGTAATCCAAAAGTGATAATTAAATGATTTAAATGGTTTCTATTAGGCACATTTTAAATTTCATTTCCTGCATTACAATCTTAAAGTTTATTTAAATCTACATTTTTACAATATTTATAACCAGCAGCTTGAAGAACGTGATTACTAAACAATTTTCAATTTGAATTGCCATTGAAATGTGTAATCTTAAGCATTGTGTACATTCACCTGCGTTGTTCCTTAATAATCATAATTGTTTAGCCATGTCAAGGGGGTGGTGATTGGCAGAAGGGAAATTACCAAGTCAGAAGTGTTATGCCCCAAGCAGCTTGGAGCCCATCTGTGTCTTGGAGGCAACAGCAACTAATTGACCAAGTGTTTGGCAGGAAAAAGTTTTACCCATTTTAACAATTTAAACATATCCAAGCCTTCAGGTGCGGATGTTGCTGTATTGGCCGAAAATGTCTCATCAGTGTGTATATACACACACACACTTGTAAAATGTGCATAATTAAGTACTATACTATCTACTTAAATTAAGTGCTGCGATAGAACAGCTTATTGAGAAGGCTCACAAATAATCTTAAAATAGACTACTCGAATCGTTTTAGTCATCTCAGTCATCAAGAGATGCCGTGCTTTGCTGTCCGTGGGTAAGTGACTTGAGTATTGGTGAATGCAGGTGGGCACTCGGGTGTCATTTACAGCTTGCTGTTAATGAGGCTGGGAGTCTGCGCGGGGAACCCCCCGCTGAAGGTGGCGTTAAGCACGTCCTCCAGCGTGCGCGCCAGCACCACGTCCAGCTGGTCACGCACGACGCGCGACACCTCCTCCAGGTCCTTCTCGTTGCGCCGCGGCAGCACAACGCGCTTCAGCCCCGCGCGGTGGGCCGCCAGCACCTTCTCTTTGATGCCACCCACCTGCGATCCATGCACGCACGAACAGCACCATTTACGTGTCACGTGGGGGAAAATGTGGAACGGCAATCGGCATTAAAAAGAGATTACTGGTCTACTCAATAGCCGGGCAATGGCTGTGGAATGTGGACATTAAACGGATGAAAAAAGGATCGTAGCATTTGTAGATGAAAGCTTTCATGATTTCAAGGATATCATACAAAGACCACGTTTAAAACCAGGACGTTTGGCCAGAATAAATGTAAATGGTCAAAACTGTGAGAAATAATTGAGACACTAGGCGGCCTATATATGTGTAAAGAGGATGAGCGGTGATGGGCTAGCACTGCAAGGATCAGTCGATGGCTCAAGAGGACATGGCACATCAACTCAGCAAATTACATCAAGGAATGGACCAAAAGCGACGCTAAGGCAGCAAGACTTGGAACAGATGTCCCCCCTATTGGTTTGCAAAGACCAATGGACCAAAGTAGAGCAACACTGGAAGCAAATGTGTGGTGGCAGCGGTGACGTCACACGCAGGTGGTGGGTAGGTGTCGCACCGGCAGCACAAGGCCACGCAGGGTGATCTCCCCGGTGATGGCCGTGTCGGAGCGGGCAGTGCGGCCGCTGAGGAGCGAGGCAAGGCACACGGCTATAGCGGCGCCGGCCGAAGGGCCGTCCTTGGTGACGGCACCGGCTGGGAAGTGCAGGTGCACATCCCAGCCGTCGAGCGGGTCGGCCCCTCCGGACGCTGAGCGTACGCACGTGAGAGACGGCCACGTGAATGTTCGAAAGACGCAACACAAAGAGCTCTTGTGTTGTCGATAACTAGGATTTTGCGTCCGAGGCTGTCTAATGTGAGTTTGGAGTTTTGTAATACTACCGAGTAGCTTTTCACAGTTGAGCTGTATAGTTCTGATGTATTTTTGGGGTTTACCGTGTGTTTAACAACTAGAAAATGCATCGGAGAGCTACTTACGTATTGTTAATAAAAAAAACACTTTGACGTGAACGGCCAAGTCTGTCATGGCACCCGAGTGAAGTGACTTCCAGACAACATAATGTAAATACAGTGACTTTATGCTTGCACTACTTCAGACTGTTTGACCATGACTTAAAAAAAAAATTCCCCTTCAATAACGAAGCTTCAAACTTATTTAGGTCATCCCAGGACACAACCTAGATACACAGCTCCAAGAGAACAGCCTTTTAAAATGTGCATCTTCAACAAAATTGCAATCTTAAACGGAAAGTTTAAACATAAACTCGAGCACACAAAAAAATGCAATACTACAAATAAATCACCAATTTATTCTCTATTTGAACATAGGTGGCATCAAGAGCTTTGACAATGATATCTTGAACAAAGGGATGAACACAACATGCTACCGCACACTCATAACCAAGGGTAGCACTGTGTAGGAGTGTTGTTTATTTTTTCCAGTACCGCTGACGAGGCCGTACGTGC